CCACAGGGCGGCGCGGTGGTGGGTGTACGTGGTATGGAAGGATTCTGGGTGGGTTAGCTCATCTGCAGGGAGGTCGACGAAGCGGAGGTTGGGGGCCAAAAGGACCGCGCAGACGTACCCACCTGGCCCATGCTCAAGGATCGCTATTGCGACATGTCTGAACAGCCTCGACGGCGTGCCAGCAAAAGGTCCTCTCGCCGATGTGACGTTGTGCCCCAATGTCTCAACATCAATCAATCGAACTCCGGCGCCGGGATGCCGGTGGTCATTGGACCTTGACCCTGATATCCACCCAAAATTAAGGCCCAGGAGCGCCATCCTACCGGGTCTCGAACGTTCGGCTTGGGCTTTGACTTCTGTTCGAGGATGCGGCACTTGTCTGTTGGGAAACCTTGGTTGAATTTAGGCGGAGAGACAACACCGAAGTGCGCTTCCCAAAGTGCGAGATCCTAGCTACCCGTTTGGGCAAGGGTGAGCCGGGCCTAGCGAGAGACAAGGTGCTGACTGAGCAGCGTGGGCTGCAAAGGTGAGGCGTCGTAGGGCAGGGAGAGAGTTCTCGCGTAATTCCCACCTTGGTAACCCAGAAGGGCTCTCCCGCCAGGGAACACTGCGCTGCAGGTGAACGGGATCTCTGCACAGCAGGCGGTGCCACACCAGCTTACAGCATTCGATCCACACCGTCGGGTCTGCTGTTGCACCTGTGTGCCGGGACACAAGATTCTGTCACCGATGGTTTGGCACTCTGCCTTGGACCTCATGCTGGCAAAGTAGCGGGCATGGTATTGATGCACATGCACAATCTCCCTGAAGATCAGGACTGCAGGAAGATTTGACAAGTCGAGCAAGTCCGACGCCGATGTTGCGGTCAAGGAGTTGAAAGGTGTCTTCTGATGGCAAGCAGCTGCTCTAGCCCTGCATGCGTCGTACAGCGCGGCCAATGAGGAGCCCCATGCAGCTTTGTAAGTGCAAGGATCCGAGAATAGCAGCATGATTCAGCACGTGGAATTAAGGTGATGAGGGTTCTCAGTATGCAGATCAAATGCTGCAGCCTGCCAACCCTCCTCGGGCCACCTTGTGCCCAGAGCATGCATGCTGACATCCCATGTCCGGCGTTGGCAACTGTACAAGGGGACTTGAACCAAACACCGATGTATGATCAGGTTATCACCGCAGTATGAGCCAGACTCTGTTTAGCTCCACGATCCTGGCAGACGCGGCAGGTTTGACCTTGACCAAAGGACCTTTGCTGCGACAAGAACGGCATCGTTTCGACAGGAGCTAATATCCTTGTAAACACATGCGCACACACGGTCGGCTTTGAACGCCTTGTGACTTGTCCTGATGCGACAGTAACCACTGCCGATCCGTCGGCCGCCTCAGACAAAACAACCGGACGGAGGAGATAAGCGGATTTTATGCTGTAGCCGCAACAGGAGCGATACCCGTTGTGACAAGTCCAGGGCAGGAATCTTGCTGTCGCGACATAGTATGCATTGCCATTAGACCTTGGTCGTTTGAATCCAGACAGCACGCGTCAAGCGGCCCCCAATTGTTCACCGAAATCCTCCCGCTTGAGCAGTTGAGCACGGGAAGATAGGGCTGGAATCCCATGCAGTACCCCTGGTTGCCCTGGGCGGGTAAAACGGCCGCAGTGCCGCTGACCTGCATGATGGCAAATGAGCCAGAACACGCACCCACATATACACACTGGGTTTATCAGTAAGACGCAAACAAGCGACCAAAGGGTGGTGTGCGGGTCGTTGCGCCCTTAGTCGAGCCATGATAGCACGGAGAGAGCAGATCTGTCAATGCTACCGTGGACAGTAGCGCAAGTCTATATGCAAGGTGCTTTTTTTCGAAGCCTCTTAACGCCGGCGCGACCTACTGCTGGTGCATTGACTTGTGTCGTCCGCCCCCCTCCGCTCACTGGCCACACCAGGGGCCCCGGCTTGGCAGCGTTCTTAACTAGGACAGCCAGACAGCCAGAGTGAGACCACGCCGTTGATGCCGCTGTCGGGAACTTTGGCGGCTTCGGTGGATTCCCGACTAGTAGAGACCAGTGCCCGTTTCCTGTAGGGATTGGCGGGACGGCTGGCTCTTAAGGTTGAGGCTAAGCTGGACGGATTTGCTTCGGCCCTTTACGAGCGGCCGCTGGGAGCACCCATGCTGCGTTTACAGCTTTGGAATCGAATTCAGCTTCGTCGATGATCCGCGACGTTCAGCATGAAGGACCTGAACAGAGGCTGAGCATAGGCATCTGCGGCCGTGTCTGGCGCAGCATCTTCGACATCATATGCTCTACGCGGCGCAGATCTCGAAAGAGGCCTGACGAGCTCAGTGCGATTCTTTTGTAGCTGTTAGGCAGACGGTTTCCTGTGGCAGTTTGAGGGCCTTGGTTGTCCCTTGTTAGATACGAAAGCTTTGGGAGGGCCAGGTGGGACCAGAGCTCTAACGTTCGGATTGGGTCACGATCTCCTGCATTGACGGATCATAGGCAGTGATGCTGGGGATCTCGTCCATACCACAGTGCAGCAGCATCCTACGCCTAATTGCTAGAGCACTGTGGGGTTTGTCTACTACCGAGAAAAGTGACCACCTTTTCTGCGGGTTAGGAGGAGGCTTGGACCGCAGCGCAGCGGCGCAGGGTAGAGCAGCGGTGTAGGTAGCGAGGCCGACAGCTTTGCGTGCTTATCAATCGAGTCGAGCGAGTAGGGAGTGTCGAAATATGGGTGCCTGCTCGATGATACGCAGTCCCTAGTGGTCGTAGTCCTTGAGGAGCCTTGAAACAAGGCCAGGATATGCCTGCGTGCGGCACAGGAAGGCCACGGGTGGTCTAGCCCTATGGTGGAATGGAGGAGGCTCATGAAGCGGGTCGACACGGCCGGCGGCCGCTATCGTGCTGTATCTGTCACAGGGCGTGACATTGACAGGCAGACAGTGGCAGACAGTGGCAGACAGTGACAGCGCAGCGAAGCGCAGTGCAGTGCTGGTGGCAGAGCCAAGGCACGCACAGTTATAGACGATGGTTAAAGACAGGGAAGACACCTCCGTGAATGCAGATGCCGCTCGGTGGAAGATGAGGTCGGCTAGGCCATCTCGATGAGTTGTGTAGTCGAGTCGAGTCAGTTTGAGTCGCGTTGAGGTGTGATGCGATGCGCTGTGTTGTGTTGCAGAGAGGAGGTGGTGAATGTTCACAAATGGGTGCAACCTCAACGTCCGCCAGCGACGCGACTTGGCAAGATCCGCCAGGCAAAATTAGCAATGCGCTACACATTTCTGTTGCCTGTGCGTAGGTGCGGTCCTGAGTCCTGGGCTACGGTAGGACAGGGCAAAAGGACCATCTACCGTTTGTGCGTCGCCGTTTCGTACCACCCCACAGCCACGACCCAGTAGGCGCGGACGCGGCCGTTTTGTCTCCACGGTGTTGCAAGACAGACCCACCTGCACCCCCTGTCCTGCCCGTCGCCCTTGCCCAAAACAGGACAATGGTCTGCGCGCAAACCCACACCCCACCATCTCCTCTAGCGTCCAGGACTCGCGCAACTTCCTTCCCTCTGTACGCCCTGCTGCCCTCTTGCCCGGTGATTCACAGTCCTAGAACCCACTATCGATGGCATGTCACTGCCTCTTGTCTGCGGTTTTGCCTGCCGTTTGCTCACCCATGGGAACTGCACTGTAGATCGCATACCCCCCATCTCTTGCTCGCACTTTATGGCCCAATCAGCGGACGTCCCATAAGCCCAGCACCGCGGTGTGGAGCAGACCCGGCCACTGGAGAATCCGGTCTTGGCCGCGGCAGTCTCCGGTCCCAGGACACAGGGTGCGATATGTTGTAGCCTGATGCGACAGGCGTCGGTCTGTGTCTGAGTCTGTATGTCTGCCCGCTCGCGTGTGTGTATCTGTGTCCGTCGATCAGTCAGTCAGTCACTCAGTCAGTCTTGTCTGTCTGCCGCAATGACTTGGTATGGCTCATCTAGGACAGGCCGACGCAGAGATGGACGGTACTGAACGGTAACGACTGTGCTAGTGACCCCGTCTGCCCGACCCTCCGTCCCTTCCTCGTCCCAATGCCGCTACTGTCGTCAGGTAGCTACGTTCCATGCATTAGCCCACGCCCTGCCGAGCTCGCTGTGTCTTGCTTCGTAACGACCTCAAATAGCAGGCCAGCCCTCCATGAGACAAGCCCGTCGAGGTACCGCAGGTACGTACCAATGCAAAAAGCCCTTCTTGCGTCTGCCTTGTCCCAGAATACCTTCCTGCTGGGAAGACCCACTGTCCTGGGCCGTGCAGGGTGCCGATGTACCTCTGGCGATGGGACCGGGGCAGGGGCCACACATGTACCTCTCGTACCTACCCTGAGCTCCGCCCCCCGGGTTTGCTGCGAGCTGGAGCTCCCAAGGGACGAAGTAGACGTACCCATGTCCCCAGGGTTCCGTCATAGCTCTTCCTTCGGCGGGCTTTGCTCTCGAGCACTGTCGTATCTCGTTTCTCGTCTCCCGCCTCCCGTCTCGTCTGGTCTCTCGTTTCGATCCTTCGAAGATGTACGTACCTACATGTGCCCGAGTACGTACATGCAATACAGCACAGCACAGGACAGACAGTTTGATCCTTCTCGCAGGGATGCTGCCACCATGGGTGCGCCAGCCCACATGGGCCTTGACGTGCCCTGGGTCGCCCAAGCCCACCACCTGCACCTCGCCTTGTGCTCATCCCGCCCGAACAATACTTATATGTCGAGATCCCTCGCAACGCCCTCTTCCAACTCGAGTCTTCCTTTGGTGTTCATGACAAACTCCAGAGAAACAATCACACTTGTCTTTCATATCTGAAGCTCCCTCAACAACCAGAGCTTCACTCCTCTCTGTGTAGTCAACCAACAACACACGGCTTGGACCGCCCCGCCCAACACGCACCACATACCCCCAGCCTCGTCCCTTCAAGCCTCGCCCCACGAGGTCTTCGCGACAATGTCTACAGAAGCTCACCACATGTTTCCGGTGATGGCGCCTGACCATCACCTCTCCGTCCACCAGTACTCGGGCTGGCCAGCAGAGCACCCGCAGCACATCTCGGTGCGACAGTACCCAAGCACCAGCAGCGCCTTCAGCAGCTCAGCGCATCCCGATGAAGACTGGACCAAGGTCTCGGATCTGGCTGAGCGCAGGCGGATACAGAACAGGATTGCCCAGCGCAACTACCGTAGGTGACCCTTCGCACGGGCACAACAGCAACCTGTCTGAGCGTGACTGACCCCCGGCTGCAGGCAAGAAGATAAAGGAGCGCATGGCCGACCTGGAGAGGCGCGCGGGCTCTGACGGGAACAAGAGCAGCAGCACAAGCAGCAAGAAGTCGCCAAAGACGTCCAAGAAGCAAGGACGGCGCCAGTCTTCACCACCGCCGCCGGGACACCACTCGCTGCAGCCACCATCACAGTCGGGCGTGCCACAACACCCCTTCACGCCGCCCATGAATCCGGAGGACCACTTCTTCCCCTCGCCAAGCCCGCCAGCAAGCAGCCCGCCACCATTTGCTTCCTACCAACCCACGTACTCGCCTCCCAGCGACAACGGCATGATCATGCAGCCATACGGGAGCCCACAACAGCAGGCAATCGCAACATCTGGCCCTTACCAATTCGGCATGGTGTCCACAAACGCACCCACGCTGCCGCCAATGACACACTTTGCGGATGCGTACAAGGCACCCAACCTCAACGGGGGGAATGAGTCGATGTCGTCGTTTTCCAACTACGGCGACTACACGCTTGGTGGTCACTTGAACCCCTCGCCCTACGATTCAAATCCTCATGTGAGTTCCTTGCGCCACATCCAAAACCATCAGCACAGCCCTCTCCCTTCCGCCACTCTCCCTCCCTTCGGCAGCGCGATGGCTGGTTCATCTGCCGGTCCTCTTGCTGCGCCTGTTCCTTACCGCCCTCGCTATCCTCCTTCCCCGTCTCGGAGTTGAAGAACGATGTGTACGTCCCACGGCGAGAAGAAGAGAAAGAAGAACATCATCATAGAGAGAAAGACAACGCTTTCAACGGCCCAAGAGCAAAAGGCTAATACGACAGTCTCACCTACAGACCCCAGCTCTGTCGCACACCTTTGACCACTCGGACAACAATTCGGAGGCGGATTGGTGTGCCTACCCAGTGACACCACTGTCGATGGGCTCACCATGAAAAGAGATAGAGACAGACGCAAGCAATTGCAAACGGCATGAGGAATGGATACACCTGATTTAACGATTTTTTTGTCTATACCTTTTTCTTTGAACTTTATTTTTAGTGTTATGATTGGACGGCCATCTCCCTGTTTTGTTTTCTTCTTCCCATCTCGAGAGTACACTGCTTGGAGGCAGCGGGGGCTGTTTTGTGCAGCCGCGGAGTTCAGGGCGTTGCTCTCTTCGGTGCAGAACAGACCCTCGCGCGCTGGCCTGGCCATCGGATGGCCAAGATTGCCTGGGAGGAGCAAAGCTGGATAAGAGACACACACACAAGCGACTTTTTTGGATTAAAAGGATTAGCGTGGTTATTTTGGGCATCAGGGTCACGCTGGCCTGTGGACTTGGGGCCGGAGTTTCTGGTGTGGTTTCTTTTTTCTGTCAAGATCTCTCTAAGAGTTCTTATTTTTTTTTGGATATTCCAATCAATCTACAACTTCAACTCTGAACCATAAAAGTCAATCCCGTTCGTTGCAACCCGTGTAGTTGACAGCACGACGCTGCCGAGATGGAGGAGTGAGACTCAACGCTCGCTACGTAGGTACGTACGTACGTGACCCTTTTTTTTCTTGGTAGCGGTATCCCTGGCAAATCTCCCAAGCAAACTTTTTAACTACCGGGGTTTATGGACCCATTATTTCCACATGCCCACAGACCTTCCTTATTTCCACAACGGGGCCGGCGAACCATCTTCTTGCGTCTGGCACCGGTGCTGACAGGGCGGAGGAAACGAGGGAGGGAGGGGGGAGTGGAAATGGGTTGAGTGAGATTTTGGCGTCGGCTTAGAAAGACCCCCGCTCCCCTTTTCTGACTCTCTCCCTCTGCATTTCTGCACCCAAAAAACCTCGTAGGGCTGAAGGGGGAGAGAGGGGGAGGGGGAGGGTGACGAGCGCCCGGGTCCGCCGTCAGCACGATAGTTGGACCCGACACAATGGGTTTGTCTGTCTTCCCGCCCGCGCGCCGTCCCCCGCGGAGTGGATTCGTCTTGTTTCGGTCTTATTTCCTCTGTCTCTGTCTCTCTTTCTCCTCTCACTCTCCCGTCTCACATAATCCGCCACGCACCCTACCCTGCCCAGTTGCCACGCGGCCGGTGCCAGTCCACCGGCGCCGGTGCGGGTTGGTTGAGCACGGATGGGGGCGGTGGCAGCTGTCAAATCGTCTTACTTGCATTTTGTGTCTCTTGTTTCTTTTTGGGACGGACGGTTGGTGGGGAAGGAAGGAATCGACAACAGAGGTTGAGTCATATCACGTATAAGTTCACAGTGTTGCCCCCCCAAGTTTGCAACCAGCCAGGCGGGTCGGTTCTCGTTTGTCTTCCATCCTCCAGCCCGGTGCAGCCGGCAAGGCCCCTGTTTCCCCTGGTATGGAGCCTCAATCCTACGCACTGCCCTATTCCCTACCCGGCGCACGTTTCGGCTCCTGGGGGACTGAACATACGATTTTCGAGGTCACCTGCGGTCGCCTATCATCCCAGCCTGTTATGTGTGTACGTGATCACCAGGATCAAGAAATGACGACGGCCAAACCTACCGGTTCTTGTGCCCAGTTGTGCCGTGTCCGTTGCCCTGAGTCCGGTTAGGGGCGTCCCCACTTATTACAGCCGATTAGCAGCAGCGACAAAGGCCGAAGAGGGCCTCGCCCGACGGACTTTTCGGCTTCTGGGGCCGCCTGCGAGAGCCTGCCTCTGAACACTGTTCGGTGAGTACGTACACAAGTGAGGCGCCCTGCAGCGGCACCCCGTCACTATGCAGCAGAGACGAGGCAGGGCTTCTTGGTGGTCCCGACTTTCACAAGCTGCGATCTGCTCGCCCTGCTCGTCCTAGCTCTCTCCTGATATGACCCTTTCTGCATTGGGGCCAAAGATAAAGACCACAATTTTGGGCCGTGCTCTCCGCAACATGACCTGTGGAAAGGGAGGGGGAGAGGCGGTAAGGGTGTGTGTGCGAGTGAGTGTGAAAGGGGAGAATCCCTCGTTTGTGATGAGGCTCTGCGCCCGCAGGCCAGGGAAGGGCGCGAACAAGCCCCACTAGTACCTGTGGGCCCCCCTACGATGTTTTGCCTGCCTTGTGCGTACGGACGCGATGAGGAGTGATGAGGGTGGTGGTCTAGGTATCTTCTACCCGCTTCCTCTTCGATGCGGGTGGGGTCCTCAGACCAGGTCGCACATCCGCGCACCCGATCCCAGGGAGACTGTGCACAATTGATCTGCGGAGCCTCGCGATCCTTCGCCGCCCCTCGGACCCAATTACACTCCTACACCACCAAAAGTCCGAGGGGTCCTTGAGTTGCCCTCGAGTGGCCTTTGAGGAGCCTCGAGGGGTCTCTTGAGCGGCTCCATGTCCCTCGTGCATTTGCCTGTTCTGGTAAGGAGCAAAGAGCCTTATCCCCGCTAGAGTGGAAAAGGAGGAGAGAGGGGAAGGGGCCTGGGGGGCGCAATAGCTTTCCATCCGGACCCGGAGATAGACTCGGCCCACAGCCTTTAGGCGGGTCCTGTGATGGAGAGGTTTGGAAAGAGTTCGCGAGGCGCTCCGTGAGGCGTTCCGCGGAGTTTGATGGACGTGGGAGGGATATCATGGGGCAAGGTATATGTTATTGTGATATGTGAGCCGGGAAATGCAAGACGAGGCGAGAGGAGAGGAGGGGCATGGCATGGCATGGCATGGTTTAGCAAGGCATGGGTATACCGCTGATCGGCTCGAGACCGGGCCCTTCTCGTTGTGCGGACTTGCGGTTGTGTGGCTGCCGGTGGTCGTGTCGCTCTGTGTGTGGCACGGCATGACCCGCGTGAGGTTTGCCTGCCCAGATGGGCCAAACACGTCGACTCCGCTGTCTAATGTGATAAGCACCTTGCATCAAACCCCTTGCCACCTGGACCCGAATGAGTGAATGGACGATTGAGTGAGTGAGTGAGTGAGTGAGTAAATGGGCGAATGGATGGATGATCAAGCAGCCCCGCCCGAAGCGCAGTCTCCTCTCCAGCAGCTCAACATCGGTCTTTGCAGTCCTGTCAATGTGGCTCCTTGTGTAACACAGGCGGCAATACGGGCGGGTCCAGCCAGCCACATGACCGATGATGGATCGCGGATGGGGACATAGGGCAGGGACGGGAACAGGGGACAGGGACATGGACGTTGGATAATGGACATCTGAACATGGCCACAGGGGAATGGGGGTTTGTCCAAATTGATGTTTCCGCCGCTCAATCCCACATACTGTCGCAGTCAGAGTAACGGTAGGCCATGGCAGAGATACTGTAGAGGGAGGAGGGAGAGATCATGATTCTCCACAGAAGGATGCAAACCGTTTCCAAGGGGATCCTAGGAACCCGGCCTCTCCACTTAGACCGGGACGCTGGGCAAAAGACCCCAACCTGCATATTGACCCACAGACAGGCAGGGCAAGGACCCAGGGCTCAGGACTCACCAGGAGCCAGGACCAGGGGTCCAGTTACCCCCAGGCAGTCAGGGCTACCACCCAACCACCACCTGCTTTGGACCCGAGCGCCTCCAATTGACTCCGTTGACAGCCCCATACAGGCTGGGTAGCATTCAAGCGATGGTACCGGTGCCGCACAGTATAAACCAGTCACATGGGGACGATGCATGCCCGTCCAGATCGCCAGACCGATGGCATTTGGGGGCTGGAGATGCTGGCCTGCAGGGAAGCGCTGGATGGTCACCCTCTTGCACCTTCAGCCGCATCCTTCTGCAAGTATGCAGCCTCGCTATTGGCCCTGTGCGTGGTATTGTGTTGTTTTTGTGTTTTGCCGTGTAGTATTGCGATTTGCTGTCTTGTCTGCTTTTGCCTGGCTGCCTTGCTTTGGTGCCCGGTACCTGCGATCGCATCCAGTATGCCCAGAACCACAAAACCCGAGGGATGAAAAAGCCTTGAGATCAGGTGGAGACGTGGAATATCAGGAGCAATACGGCTCCTGCCTAGGCCATACTTGGCTGACACCGGGCGTCTGGGCCGACCAGATCAGGGAACCAGGAGGAGAGACCTCAGGGGGGGGGGGCTGTTACACGATACCGGCAGCAGGTATGATAGATGGCGTGCAGGTGCACAGTCTCGATCAAACCACATTCTTGGGTCGCGGAACGTGGTGCCTGTGAGAGGGTCGGAATCCCCCTTGATGGCCAAATGCCAGGGCGCGCTTCTTCCCTCCCTCCCTCTCTCTCACCGCTGGGCCTCCGCCGTGAAATCAACCGTACTGTACACAGTATATCTTCCGGCGGGGAACGGAGGTTCTGGACCCTGGCAGGCTTGCTCTCCAAGATGAGGACCCAGGGCGATGAACGGAGTGCCGCTATGAGCGGTTGATGATGGCCAGCTTGAGTCTTGTGCCTAGCTGAGAATTTTTGAAACTGCACTGCAGTCCCCAAACATGGTCCTTCCAAGAGAAGAGCATGTGCCAAACAAAGGAGAGACGGTGCTGGCGCGCCAGACGCCAAGCTGGCCAATCAGATGTGAATAGGCGACCCGCCTTTTAGACGCGGGCCGACGTATGATTGGCGAATTGAGGCCCTCCACAGGCTCGGCTTCAGTCTCCGTCGTCATGATCAATCCATCATCGTGTATCCTCAACCTGAGCCTCGCATGCCACTACCCAAGGGAATTGAATTTTCCACCTGTCGTCTCCCTCCAACCCGGCACCAGAGCCCCGCGCCCAGCCGGACTGCACCTATACGCTCCGTATCATCGCCTCGGTGAAAAAAGCCTTGGCTGGAAAACCGGGCCCAGACATCAGGCAGCAGAATTAACACATTCTGGAACAGCTAGCCTCTCCTCTCGCACTCGCGACCCTAGTGGAGGTTTCATTTGGCTTCCAAGGGGATCTCGTCTACTCTGCCCGGTGAGAAAGGACATCCGAAAGGCCGCAGGAAGAGGGGGACAGCCTCTATCTACAACCGCTGAACGGCCAGATGTATCTATTCGGAGGTGACAGGTAGGCGTTCCTCCTCTCCCAAATTTCACATCCCGATCCCCCCAGGTCTCTCGTCCTATTCGCCGGCCGTACGTCGCGTTATGTTTCCTAATTCGGGTCCGGGGTGCGGAATGGCTTCCTTTGTGCATCCATCCAATCCATCCACCCCTGCCTGCGTCCTTCTGCCCCATGGGCTGCGCCCGCCGCCTCCATGCCGCCCGTGTCAAAAGAGGTTTGGTCACCAGATGCACGACACGTTGGATCGGTCTACGCCAGGGGTAGGGATATGTGACTGGACGAGAAATGCGTCCGAGCCTCACTAACACTACAAACTCGGTGCTACAAGCGCCTACTGAAGGACTTGGTGATGAAACGGCGCATTCGGAAACGATGTAGCCACATACCAGAAGCCATGACGGGCGGCTAACAAAAAATACAGGCCTTGGGACGCGTCCCAGTTCACCGCCTCGGACGACCGCGTCCGCGGTGGCAAGTCCCAATCTTACCTGACCGTGCTCTCAGCACCGGCATCATCGGCGTCGTCGTCGTCCCAGGCCGAGTTCTCAGGCCACCTGGACATCACGGCCCTGGGCGGCGCGGGGTTCGCCTCGCAGCGCACCGCCGACGGCGTGCCGGGCTGGGACCTCTCAAGCTACGACGCCCTCGTGCTGGACGTCGCGCGCGCTGATGACCGCAGGTACACGCTCACCCTCAAGGACGAGGTGCTCCCCCGGCGGCCAGACGGGCGGGACCAGAGCAGCGTCAGCTGGGAGTACGACTTTGTCGTCGGGGCTGGGAAGGGCAGCACTTCTGCTGCTGGCGATGGCGGTGGCAGCAAGGCTGACTCGACCCGGGTGGTGATACCATTTGGGGAGTTTAAGCCTACGTACCGTGGCAAGCCGAAGCCTGACGCCGAGCCGCTGGATCTGAAGAACGTGAGGCGGATGACTTTCATGATGAGGAGGTGAGTACTCCCCTCGCGGTGCACGGTGCAGCGTCGTCTATTGGTCCATGCCACCCGAGGACTCACTGAACAAGACTGACGCGCGACATTAATCCAGTTTCTTTGGTGACCAAGAGGGCGATTTCTCCATCGTCTTCAACTCGGTGGCCGTGGAGAAAACGGACAAAAATCGAGACTGCTCGATCGACTCGGTAGCCGCGGCGAAGCTCGCCCGAAACGAGCAGCAACATGCGGGCAGCGGTGTTCCGAAGGGGAACAACCTCACGTCCTGGATCGGGAGACTCTGCGGCTGGGGCAGGTGACTCCCGGGCTCGTGGCAGACAGACATGCCACCTGCACCAAGGTCGAGGCTTTGAGGCACTAGGGCTAAGGTATCGCCTGCAGGACAGAACACGGAGGCGGCTTTCTGGCGTTTACACTGCTGTCCTGCGATGCCGCTGTGCATACCCATAGGTAGGGGTAGACATCTCAACACGTAATGACAGCATCAACCTCCCAATTGAAACTGTTCCGGTGCCCGTGGTCAATCCAGCTTGAGGTGACTTACACACATCGCAGGCTACGTGCCTCGATTACGGAGGTTTGAGACGGTATCTGCAATGTGGCCTCCCCGATTACCGTGCTGCTCCGGGCAGCAGGGAGACGGATAGCTACATATATATACAGCTAGCTGCAGATGCTGCGAAGAATAGCACAGGCGCGTGCGTTCGATCCTCCAAAGTGACCGCGCATGAAATGAGTTTACGGGTGCAGAAGTTTGCTGTCTACTACGTAGATGTCTGCGCACCGTTTTGCTTCACGTGCCACGTTGAGAATGCTTTGCTGCGTGTGGTCTATGCTCGTTCTTGATTTATCTACTATGGCCTGCCTGTATCAAGAGGTGTTTCCCGCCGTCTTCCCCATCGGCGCCCGCGCAAATCTCTCAGCACGCCTGTTGTCGTTGTCTGTCAACAGCGGTCGATAGCGGTAAAAGACGGCCTGAGACGGACTGAGATGGACCTCGACCGAACTGCTTGCCATCACTGTTGGCGCCTTGCTGTGGTCCTCTGACCTGCCTCGGCGTAGAAGGGGGAATTTGTACAAGCTCAGCACTGCCGAGCCGGCGAGGTCCAGTTGTGTAGGGCGAAGGTCTTTGGATCAAGAAGTATGCTCCAGTGGTATTATTTTCTCTATCATCCCACGGTCTAACTATTCACACGCCGCAGAAAGCGCAGAGATCTACCTGTACCCGCTGTGAGGCACTGGATACCAACAACCAACAGAAAAGAAAACATCCCGCAGATAGCCACCGGCTTAGCTCGGGGTCAACTGAAGTCAAAGATGTATTTCCCCTCCCATAATCATCAACGCCATGCAGAATGCTCCCAGTCACCCCCGTGGCATTGGCTCGAGACCAATGCCCGTCCGCAATAATCCTCCATGAATACTTATGGGAGACACTAGTTGGCTCTGTGTGGATAAATTTGCTTTGGGACCACACGATGAGAAGGCCAAGACTGCCAGCACTGGGCCATGTTGGTTTTTGTCCGTGGCTGGCTCCCAAGGAAGGTCTCCTGGCCGCAGTACGGAGAATCAGTTGTCTAGAAGTGCGATCTTCTGAGGAGGTTTGAGAATGTTGAGCTCATGTCTTCTCCAAATACGTTCAACTGTTCTCGACCATCTTGTCCCCCAAGACATCTCCATACTTCTTCCCGAAGAGACAGGACTCCCGGGATCCAGGACTGACTGCTTCGAGCCCCATGAGCCCATCCAAAATTTCTGCCCAAGTAGGGTCGATCAAGCCCCCAGCTTATCATCGACTGGGTCGGCTTTGTCGTCTTGACACTGGTGTAGCAGTCTGCCAGGAACGTAGTCCGACCTCCCTCCCAATCTCCTAGATAATTGCTCGAAGCTCGCCTAGTCGTCGAACTTGATCCCCTGGTAGGCGTTGACGTCGATGAAGCCGCCACGGTAGCTGCCCCTCTTCTTCTTGTTCTTCTCCTTGGTGAAGCCCTTGCCGCGGGTGACAATCAGGTCCTCGTGTGCCTTGCGGCCCCAGTCGTGCGCGTTGTCGGTGAAGGCGTTGGACTTGAACTTCTCCTCGACCGTGATGTCCTTGCGGATGCGCGAGAAGGGCTCGTTGGGGACCTTCTTCACCGGGGCCGCGTCCTTCTTGCCGCGGTTGTTCTTCTTGGCGGCGGTCGGGTTCGGGGGCAGAGGGGGGAAGATCTCCGGGGAGGTCTTGCCCATGGTCACGGACGAGTCGGAGCCGTTCGTGGCGGGCTTGGGGGCGTTATCCTCGGATTCAGAGTCTGAGGACGAGGATGAGGAAGAGGAAGACCCAGAGTCGGGGAGCTTGGTGGCGGCGGCTTTCTTGAGCTGCTCGGATTCGTCGTCCGAGTTGCTATCGCTGTCGCTGCTGTCACTGTCACTGCTGGAGTCCGAAGAAGAGTCCGAGCTAGAATCGGAGTCGGAGTCGGAGCTCTCCTTGACCTTCTGCTTCTTGGATTTTGGTTTCTCGTCCTCAGAACTGGAGGAATCAGAGTCGCTTGAAGAAGAGCTGGAGTCGGAATCGGAGTCGGAAGAATCGCTCTTGGAAGGAGCCTTGCGCTTCAGTGGGTTGGCGGCAGCAGGCTTGGCCGCGGACGACGCTCCAAGGCCGGGCTTGGCCGCAGCATTGTCGTCATCATCGTCGTCGCTCGAAGAATCGGAGGACGAGTCGGAATCACTGTCGGAGGACGAGTCGGAGGATTCGCTCTTGGCCACAGGGGCGCCGCCAGTCTTCTTCGTCTTCTTGCCCTCGTCCTCGCTGTCGCTGTCGCTATCGCTATCGCTATCGGAACTGGACGAGCTCGAGCTGGAAGAACTGTCAGAGTCGTCGGCGGACCCAGCATCCGCCATCTTCACATCGCCGCCGGCGTCGCTGGAGCTGTCAGATGAGCTCGAGTCGTCGTCGCTGGAGCTGTCGGAGCTGTCGGCGGCGGAGGCACTCTGGGACTTGTTCCAGGTCTCGAAGACGGAGATCAGGGTCTGCCCCTCGGGCTGTGCACCCTTGGCGGGGCTGACCCAACCGTTCTTGTTCCGCTGCTGCTTGAAGGCGGCGTGGGCGTCGTCGAACTGGTTGGAGGAGAGGAAACCCTCGACGAGGTCCAAGAGCTGGGCAGGTGGGGCGGGAGTGGCATCTTTCTGTGCCTTCTTAGAAGGCTTGGTGGCCTTCTTCTTGTCGGCAGACTTGTCCTTGGATTTGGCCGCCATGGCTGTGTCGTTGGGCGCGGTGACCGAGGGGGAGGAGGAAGAGGATGTCGACGGTTGGGTGGTTCGGGTGGTGTTGTTGGAGAAGAGCCAAGCTGGTGGACCAGACGACATTAATGGCGCAGCTGTTGCGGATGACGGAGGGAAAGAGGGATCTCGAGCACCACGTTTGCTTTGGTTAGGGACCTGAAGAAAATTTGTAGCTGGCGCAAGTGAAGCCTTCGGGAGGGAGCTACTCCGTTGAGAAAAAAATTGTGGACTTATCGCTGATAAGACTAGACCAAGACAAGTGCCAGCGGCCAGCTAGGAACCCCCGGCCTTCCAGTCCACTGGCAACTGGGGCAGGGGACAATTCCCCCTCCAGCAAAATCAAACATGTTATTTTGAGGCCATGATTGAGCAAACTGTGTGAATGTTTGCAGCCTGGACTGCCTGCCTGAACTGGTTTATACGTCAATTTCTTGACAGCTTGCATGACAGCAAACCTTACTATTGATAACACGTCTGGGTGTTGGGTGTTGGGTAGTAAACAGCAGCAAAGTCCGGCTTCTGTGCTTCTATGATTCTACATGCCCATTCAAGTCGGACTTCTATCTGTAACTCATGTCCTCAGGCTTTATCAGATACAGAACCACGGTCTATTTGCTTGCAATTTCCCTCCCACACCTCTCCCACACTTCGCAGCCCGTGAGATATGTCGTAATGATCAGGATGACCCCCAGCGTTCCCTGATCAACCTTCCACCAGCCCACTACACTTCCGGGCATGACCATGTCCAGCAGGTCGGCCGCGCACTTCCTCACAAGCCCCTTGGACTTGGTCTTGATGTTCGACTTCCACAGCTTCCTCTGCTCCTTCCGGACCCACATGATCTTCCTCAACCTCTCCCTCTCCTTCTCCCAGTCCGCCATCTCGCTCCCGTCCCGCTTCTCTCCGGTGCCGTAGCCCTCACCCGTCGGCGGCACGGGTGCGTACGCAAGGAGCTTTACGATCTTGACCAGCCCGCTGGCAACCCCGCATGCCAGCCCAAAGAACCAGAAGCGCTGGCCCTCCACGAACAGGACGGAGAACCATTGGGCCCCCCATAACGAGAAGCCCGGCACCTGGAGGGCATCGACGAGGCAAAGGGACTCGAGGAGCAGGTACATCCCGTTGAAGGTGCGCCCGAAGATGTCGAGCCAGGCTTCGGCTGGGGGCCCTGACTTGCGCCTGTGCCGGCAGTTGGGGTGTGTTGGTGCACGTGAGGGGCCTGCGTGGGTGCGGGTGTCTGCGCTGGCTGTGCCGCTTGATTTGCCTGCTTGGTTCCATCCTTGGCATCGGATACGGCGGCTGGGGTCTCAGAAGGAATCGACGTTGCTGCTGCGGGTGTTGGTGTTGGTGGTTGGGAGTACAGTGATGTGTATAGCTGCTGCGCCGCGTAGAAGGACTCAAGGAAGCGGAACATCCGGAAGAAGCGCCGGGCAAGACCTAGATGCCCTTTCAGGTCATTGAGTACCACCACACCCGTAGCCCTGGGATCAGTCCAGACGTGTTGGTTGCCCAACATCACGAGATCGGTGAAGCCGTCCAGGAGAAGGGGATACGAGATGACGACCATGACTATGGACTGGATCATTCGCAGCATCCGTTCTAGGGCAGCTAGAAAAGTAGAATGATTAGCACTCGGGCATTCCATATGGTACAAGATGATTCTTGAGCTGATAATCTCTCCAGCCTTTGTAACACGGTCAATAGAAACCCTCGTCACCAGTGTCAGTCACTGCGTCCCAGGACGGGTGATTGCTTGACCGCCGTCCACTGCCCCCGCTTGGCACGAGACCAAGGTAGCCCCTGACACAGGTGTTGACAGACTCGATGTGAGGGAATTACGCCCAGAAAGGGGCCAAGAATCTATCGAGACGTTGAGTTATGAAGTGAAAGAGCGGAAACTCACCAGCGTCGGTGCCGAAGCGGATGAACTGCTCAAGCGTAGACGGCGCCATGGTGTGGTCTCCTTCCCAAAGCCCCGCAGCAGTCTCACGCCGTCTTGCAGTCGAGCACAGCCTGTTGATGGCAGCTGGTCATCGAATTGGGCTTCTCGATTTGATTTTGACCGGGTTTTGATCGGTTATGGAGTTCCAGCGATGGATCTGTGCTCGATTGAAGAGAGGTAAGAGTGAGGGCCCGGATTTAAGCAGAGGTTGAGATCGGACCCGGGATGGTGCAAGCGCGGCCTCTCGGTCGGCCCACAACTTTGCTCCTCTCTGTCGACTCGGGCCACCAGCATTCTTCCATCCAGACATCAATGATCTATCCTCACGACTTTCCACAGTCCTGGGACAAAGCATTCGCCGGTTTTAGAGGCCCGGCTACAGCTGGATTCATTCCAGCCTGGGTTTGCGTCCCAGTCTCGCTCAGGTGGCCTCGGACTAGAGGCTTTGGCCTGTAAACCGCCCTGGACGCCCAGGAGGACCTCGAGAGCCAGTACTTGAAGGTGATGCCACACAGCGACGTAGTGCCTTGATCGAGACAAACTGAAATTGTAAGGCCTCCGACACTTCCTCCGCCAGCTGTGACTATTTTCATGCAACTTTTGAGTCAATTTTGGAAGCAGTTGCAGAGTCTGTCTTGAGTTCCTTGGAGGCAGTTTTGGGGTGAAACGGTGTACACAGAATAAGAAGTTTGACGGAAATCAAATAATCATATAATGGTGGTATATATATCACAAAAGTCATCAGTCGTCATAAATCTGCATTCTTTTACTGAATCATTTCCGATTGCTGTAGTCCCAAAGTATACAGATTACCCTTGGCCAACTCCAGCCACAATCTGTCTTTTCGCCAACTGGTACCACGAACTCACCAGTACAGTGGTCACATAATTGCCCTTGATTCCATACACCATCTCCGTAACAGCCTCCTTTGCATGCGGAGTACTCCGTGGACCAGTCTTCGGAAACACAAGTCTGGTAGATCGCCAGGTTGTGTCTCTGGTGCATGGTGCTGCCCAGAAGGATTTGGAGGAAGATGGTTTGCGTCTCATCTGATGCGCTGCTGAAGATGGCCAGAGAGAGCATGGTGGCTGACATGATGATACTCTTCGGTGTTGACGCCGGGTCCTCCATAATCTCGAGTTACACTTAAAATCTGACCAAGCATCAATACAGAGTTGAGATGATCACTGGGATACCATGTGGAATCAGTGGGTGACAATCTGGGGCCTCAATGGAAACGGGGAGGCCCATGATGGAAACTTTCCGAGGCAAATACGGCAACTCGCTCCTTCCCTCTCCGTCAGCCCACACCCGTAACTGCACACTTGCAAGGTCACACCTGCAACTGCACACACTTGGACATACTCCAATCAATCCTAAGACAAGAAGCATCGCCTCATACTACTTGGTGCCTCCTTACAAAACTTGAAGGAAGTCAAAACAAACGAAGAACCACACCCAGGGATCAATAATCCAGCCAAACTTCCGCCCTCTCCCATACTGACCCCGGTAGAATCATCACAAGCGACAAACAAGATGAATCTTCTTCATTTCGTCCTCTTGACCCTGCTGGGCTCTCTCGCTTCCTCCATGGCTATGGTGCCACCACGCCTGATGACTGGTGTAGCCGCACACAACGTCGAACAAGCCCTCAACCACACCGCAGAAAAGGAGGTCGCAGGTCGTCCAGGAACGACCATAGCCTCCATACTTGTAAAGTATGAACTCAGATGCGGATTGGACCCAAACACGCCCTCGGCACCTTTCACACCAGGTTACGGCCTGAAGGACATTTATTGCAAGAAGTGGTTTGAGTGCAAACCTGATGGTGAGGAGCTCAAAAATAGGATGTTACTACACCCTGGTGTCATCAGTAGCTGACCTAGATGTCATAGGAACAAGGCGCCAAAAGAAACAAGTAGTCGAAGGCGAATACAATTGGCTTCGCAAGAAAAGAAACGTGGAATGGCAAGTCTAGGGCCTCTTCATCCTTCTTCGAGGATGAGAGCTAACTACAGGACAGGTGCGACGATTGGTGTCAATGTGTAGAAATCGACAAGCCTGAGAAGCACTTTGCCTACAATATGTTCGTCTTCCACCCGCTCGCTCTATCCTCACACACATCTCCCGGCCCCAATAGCACCTCTTTCAACCGGAAGATTATGGGAATATTTACTGACATAATTATGAAGGGGCTGTGTGGACCCCTACGGCGGCCTGGTCCAGGGTCAGTATGGCAACGTTGCTCGTGATCCGGACTCGGTCGAGCCTCTGAACGATGACGACGGGCTGGTGATGGAAGGATTTGACGGGCCACCTCGCAAAGAGTGACCTGGATGGGGGAGGTTGACCCACTCAGATGCGGGAAGACATGAGTGCGAATGGTGATTTCAGCCTCAAGTAGAGGGTGAGAGACGTAGGGTTCAAGGGGTTACTCGCTCTTAGGGACACCGGTTGGGGATACTACCGGAGCAGAACTATTATTGTGGCAGGCATCATCACCTCATACCATTGTGATTTCTAAACTTTTTTTTTGTGTCTCAGTCTGCTCAGATGCACTGAAGCCTTCAGTGGTCATGTCTTCCATGGTTCCGGAATCTCCCAAGTCTGTAGTCTGATGCCCGCCCAAAAAAATGTCTTCTAACGAAAATTTCTCAAGTGATACAGGGAAAGACTCGGATATAAAAGACACCCGGCGGGTCATCCACCCATTTCGAGGGCCACGGCTCTCCTTACTTCCGACGATCTCTTGACTGCCAGCATCTCAGAAAGTGAACGGGCCATGCTCACATTCTATCAAATTCCTACAGTCTTCACTAGTCTCAAAAAAGCTCTATTGACTTAACAGTGTATGTCACCTGGACTGATAGACTTCTTGTTGGATCTTGCATTTGAGAACTATTGAGTTTGTGTATCCCATCATGGCATTTGCGAAGCTATGGATCTAGTTCATGCTCGAGATCTTGTACCAATGCTTCCAAGTTTGGAAGCTCAAGTGAGCCAAAATGAAACAATGAGGCCAAGGAAGCGTGCGAGGGGAGAATTCCGTGCCCAAGGGATGGCGCCCGGTGTCTCCTCCACTTCCTCCACATCAAGCTCCTCAGGTCGAGCTCACCCATCCCACGTTGTCACAGAATTGCTTGTCCTGATAGGTCTGGAAGCCCCTTAGAATTGAACAAAATGTTAGTATCTCTTCCAGGGCTGACGACACCGGGGAAGACAATTGTGGACATACCAGGCTATCTGCCGGTCAGCATCGTAGAAGTATCCCGTCTTGCCCAGTCCACACTCCCTGGTGATGTTTCCAAGGGCGTTGTACCAGTCTTCAACAGCGTCACATGGCTCGTGCTTGTTCTTGCTATTTGTTTTGCATCGTGTTAGCATTTACCTTTGGGACGACCGGGTCCTAGGCCTGGTTTAGCCCTCGGGGGCTGGGGGCTCGAGCCCATAGGACGTTCAGCAGGAGGAAAAGACTTGCCTGCAGGCCCAAGTGCGAGACGGGGTGTGCTGTGAGGGGTCTACTCCGTCTTCGTAGACCGAAAAGCCAGCGTACTCGAGGCCGCTGGGGTTGAGCTCATTGCCGCAGTAGCACCTGAGTTTGTCAGTCAACCGTAATCTATCCCTTTGATTCTCTTGCGCATGGCCCATACATCGAAGCGGATCTGTATGTGTGTGATTTTGCATGTAGGAATAGGCGATATCACCATTTGATCAGGTGGATGGAAAGGTAGGAGAGGGGGTAAGATGTACTAACCAATCCATCATCCTGGCCATGGTCTTGATCCGAGACTCCTCAGGAACCTGCTGGTCAGAGCAGTGGACTAGCATGTAGCCCGGGAGCGGGTTGTCGAAGTCGACGTAGTTTTGGCAGTCGATATCATCTCCGGAGCAGTCTGGATAGTCTGAGATCGCAGCGGATCCAAATCCAAGGAAGGAAAGGAGGAGAAAGAAAGCAAAGTAGAAGGCCTGCATCATGATTGTGCTGCTTGAGACAGATTGAGCCTTAAATGATTGAGGTGCGGAGTGTTGGTTCCGTTTCGGGTAGTATGTCTGTCCAGTGTAGTGGAAGGAAAGGAGGACACGCAGACAACTTGTTGTGCAGTCCGGCCTTTTTGTATTGTGAGGCCAAGAGTCATGAAATGTCGAAACTGCAGTTGGGACAGAAGTCAATGCCAGAAACATTACCAGGGAGCAGTGAAGGATGAATTTGCACATACCTGGGAAGGATATCATCATGGACTGTTTCGCTCCTTACACCTGGGCACTAGACGCAAGTGAATGTTGACTACAGCACTTTATCAAGCCACACAACGCACCTTCCTGCAAGCTGAAACCTCTTTCTTTCATAACAAACCTCACTATCTTTACCTAGGCGCTGAAAGCATCAAAAGCATCGAAACCATACCACCTGCAACACAACTCGCAGCCCATCAACGACATCAACCTCCATACTACTGACGCCTCAACTCATTCGACATGATGTTGTCTGTCATTTTCATTGTAAGCCAAAGGCCTCATCTGCCAGACTGGGAACTGATATCCCTCTCCCATACTTCCACAACCACATTCCTGTCCACACCGTTATCCTCCTACAAAGAAGCCCTGTTTTGACAATGACTCAGTTTCTCTTCGCTCTCCTGGGCGCCGCCAGCCCTGTTGACGGCACGAACCCTCCTCCGGGCCTCAGCTGGACCGGTGAGGTTGCCGGCCACGGGGTGGTGACCCTCCACGGCGACGCCGGCTCCGTCCGGGAGCAGATCTTTACGCTCAACCCATCCCTGACCGAGAAATTCGTCCGCACGACTCAATTCATGAGCAAGACTCCCTCGGCATACAACGCTTCTGAGGTGTTCGCCGGGCCAGGATCTGCCTACTACTACAAGTCCCCGGCTGGTGACGCCGGCGGCATGGCGGTCCGCGACGACGTCAATGGCGCAAAAAAACTCTCGGACGGGTTCAACCCCACCGACTGGTACTGTGGCACCTTCGCCACTGGTGATGGCAAGTAAACCACGCCAGTGGGGTCCTACTTGGCAACCTCCGCCGTATACTCACTCACCTGCTTGCTCGGCACTCTTTATCATACTATGGACCTTGCTAACCCTAGGAAACCCCACACAGTTTCCGAGGCATACGATGTCGTGTCCGACGTTGGTTCTCCGGCTGGACAGGACCCAGCGAATGCCATGTGGACAATTGCAGGCAGAGTGGACGGGAAGGCCAACTGCCAACGTCTCGCGTGCGCCGTGATCCAGGGTGATCCCGGCAGCACTGCACGATATGGCAGCACTGCAGTCTATGTCAGTCAAGCCTGCCTCGCTCCCCCCCCCCCAAGAAAAAGCCCTATTTCTATCTTGACGTGGCTCCAGGGCCACACGATATGACACTGGCATAATCTCTCTCTCTCTCTTTGGCTAGGGTGTGTACCTGACAAATGACACAGTGGTGCAACGACAACGACTTCAAGGTCACGACAGCGGCCATGAACCTGGCAGCAGTGGCTGCCTCCATCGCCAACGGCCACCAGGCGTTCAACTTCGCAGGCTGCTGCAAGAAGAGCCAGTCGATCGGCAGCCACAAGCAGTTCTCAGGCCAGGTAAGACTTGGGCCCCATCCCCGGCTTCCCCCCATCTCTGGCAGCTGTGATTGCTCTACAAAAACAGTGGCTAACGATCTTGATTAGATGCACCTGGGGAACGGGACCAACATCAACGTCGGCTACGGAGACTGTTCCAAGTCCGACTACTTTGTTAACCCCGGCGACCTCACTTACCCTGGACCCCTCGGAAGTTGTATATAGTTGGGGGCAAAGCCGGATTTGGTGTCTCTGTGAGATGGGTTTGGCTCTACTTAGTGTGCGGCTGGGAGTAGCTGCCCTACATAGCTGTCCTGGTCTGGCATAGTGACAGACAAGTACGCCATTGGACAATGGAAGAGCCTGCCAGACATATGCTTTGCACTTGATACAGAGCCAGATGCCTCGACATTCCTATTCTAAGTGAGATTGTGCTGTGCCGTGACTGCCCATCTCGATTCGAGCACACTTCCTGGCTCCTCGCGGGAGGCATCGTACCAGGCCACGTGCCACATTATTGCTGACAACCCCTTTGAAATACCTCCAGTCGATGGGCCTGGTCAAGGGAGCCATAGTAATCGCAGGTTAAGCAAATCCGTTGACCATCACTTTACATGCAAGCCGGAGCAACGGACCCGCATCAGCACAACACCCTGGCAGCAATAAGGGCAAGTATAGCACATTCCCAATGGAAGGTCTATCACAGCTACTGACGCATGAACAATGTACAGATTCGGATTTAAAAAGTTTTCTTGTTTTTGTCTTCTTAGACCACCCTACGCCGCTACCTGCGAACCACTTCTCTAGACACAGCCCTCCCTCCACATCGCGCCACTCTACTGGCCTGGGGCGACGAGCTGGCCCTTGGCCCTCGTGTCGTGCGCCCAGCCACCAGCCAGGGGCTCGCCGCCAGACTTCTGTGCAAAGTCCTGCATGCGCTTCTCCAGCTCGGGCCGGAAGTGTCGGATGAGACCCTGGATGGGCCATGCGAAAGCCTCGCCAAGAGCTAAAGGGATAACAGTCAGTTTCGTGTGCAACAAAAGGTTTTGGCGAGGGGGAGTACGTACCGCAGATGGTGTGGCCCTCGACCTGCTTGGTCAGCTCCTGGATCATGTCGATCTCGCGCAGGCGGCCCTGGCCCTTCTCGAACCTGCTCATGATCTGCTCGGTCCATTTGCTGCCCTCGCGGCAGGGCGTGCACTGGCCGCACGACTCGTGGCGGTAGAAGTGGGACAGGCGGGCGATGGCGCGGACAATGTCGGTGCTCTTGTCCATGACGATGACGGCGGCCGTGCCGAGACCGGACTGGCTGTCCTTGAGGGCGTCAAAGTCCATGAGCTGGTCGTCGCACACGTGCTTGGGCAGCACGGGGGTGGACGAGCCGCCGGGGATGACGGCGAGCAGGTTGTCCCAGCCTCCGCGCACGCCGCCGCAGTGCTTGTCGATCAGCTCCCGCAGCGGGATGCTCATCTCCTCCTCGACGGTGACGGGGTTGTTGACGTGGCCGCTGATGCAGTACAGCTTGGTGCCCTGGTTCCGCTCGCGGCCGAAGCTGGCGAACCAGCTACCGCCACGGCGGCAGATGGTAGGTGCTACGGCGACGGTCTCGACGTTGGTGACGGTCGACGCGCAGCCGAACAGACCGATGGCGGCCGGGAATGGCGGCTTCAATCTTGGCTTTCCGGGCTTGCCCTCGAGCGACTCGATCAGACTTGTCTCCTCTCCACAGACGTAGGCACCGGCGCCGCGGTGGACGTAGACGTCAAAGTCGTAGCCGGAGCCACAGGCGTTCTTCCCGATCAGGCCGTCGGCGTAGGCCTCGTTGATAGCTTCCTGCAGGATGGCGGCCTCATAGACGAACTCGCCTCGGATGTAGATGTAGGCGGCAGTGGCGTTCATGGCGCGGCCGGCGACGAGGCAGCCCTCGACGAGCTTGTGTGGGTCCTTGCGCATGATCTCGCGGTCCTTGCAGGTTCCGGGCTCGCCTTCATCGGCGTTGACAACGAGGTAGCGGGGCTTCTTGTCGTTCTCCCAACCCTTGGGGTTCATGAAAGACTGTGTTGGTATGCATCGTCAGCGCCTGTGTCCGTGGAGCAGACCACGAGTGGCCAGTGCAATTGTAGTAGAGCCCGACGTACCCATTTCAACCCTGAGGGGAAGCCAGCGCCTCCTCTCCCTCGCAGGCCAGAGGCCTTGATCTCTCCGATGATCCAGTCGTGGCCCTTGAGGACGATCTCCTTCGTCTTGTGCCAGTCGCCCATCTTCTTTGCGTGCTTCAGGTCGGGAGGGTATCGGCCGTAGAGGTTCTGGAAGATGCGGTCCTGGTCCTTGAGGCCACCGTAGTGCCTCACGGGGTTGCCATCTTGAACCGTCGCGAAGCCTCGCGGGGAGTTGTGGTGTGTGCTGGTGGCCGCCACTCCTGCTGCTGCTGCTGCCGGTGCCACCGCCCTGGACAGTGCCTGGGCGGAGGACTTTGCTGTCGGTGCTGTCGTTCGTGATAACATCGTGGGGCGGGGCGTGTGTCGGTGCTCGGTTGAGCGGTATTGGGAGTGCCAATTGGCAACAAGATGTCGCTGTCGTTTGTTGTCGGGGTTGCGAAGTCCAAGTGCAATTGAAACTCGGGGCCGCTTAGAATGGAAGATGCGTTGATTGGCCCAGGCTGGTCCTCTGGGGCTCTGCGATCTGGCGCGATAACACACCGGAGGCGCCATCGCTCCTGTACCGGGTTGCACTGAGCTCCGTTGCTGTTAGTGCACGGCGTGCAGGGGGTGGCAACGAGCTTCCTCGGCCTGACCTCATTGACTTTGAGCTTTTGCTACCAGTTCACGCAGCCCAAGGTCACCGCCCACAACCACTACGAGGGCAGCACGGCAGAGCCAACCAACAAGGAGCTGCCTGTCTCGGGAGAAGTCCCTGACTCTTGGACTCTACCACTGCACGGCTACCGGCGCCTAGCCATCACTCCGCCGACCGACCCCAACATCAACATCAAAAACCATGTTCATGTTCCTTGCGAGCTGATAGCAGCGACGAGACAAACTCCAAGACTCACGACGTGACACATGATAAGACGGACGGTCCACACGATAAGCTGGCCGGAATGTCTTCCTCTTCCTCGAAGCGCCACTCTATCCTCCCGCCCGTCGCACAAGCCGGCCCAAAGGCCCCCGTCCGCTTCTCCAGCTCCCTCGTCATCGCCGACTCGGCCATCCTTACGGGCGCTCACACCATCCAGCTGCGCACCGAGAGCCTCGTCCACCCACGCGCCAAGATCGAGTCATTGGCTGGGGGCATAGACATCGGCAAGCGCTGCGTCGTACACGAGCGAACACACGTCGGGGCGCTTCCTGCCGGGGATGCAAGGTCCGGTAGCGGCGGTGGCGGGGCCGCGGTCACCATAATGGACTACTGCACCGTCGAGGTCGGCTCGACGGTCGAGGCGGGCGGTACGGTCATTGGGGAGGGCTCGATCGTCGGTGTGGGCAGCCGGATCGGGAGCGGTGCTGTTGTCGGGAAGGTTGGTCCTTCCCCTTCCTTCATCCTCCAGGCTGGGTCATGGGAAACAGAACGCGTTGAGACTACGGAAGCTGACACGGGAAACCCTCAGTACTGCACGATCTCACCGCGCACGACCATTGCCCCTGGCGAGACGGTCCCGGACTACACCGTCGTCTTCTCCAACGGCCTGCACCGGCGCGACAAGCGCGACGTCGTGGACATCCGCACCAGGGCGCAGGCGAGGCAGCTCGACATCCTGCGGAAGCTGATCCCCAGCAACCCGGCCAAGTTTCAGTGAGCCCCCAACCGAGCACGATACGTGAAAAATAGTCGGACCAATTACCTGGCAGCGAAATGTTGCAAGGTGGCAACCGGCTGCCTACAGGAACAGGCCCCGCGCCGGAGAGACGTGCAACCGCGGGCGAACGTGGTGTCTCTTGATTCAGACCCTCCAGACACTTGGTGGGATGATCATGCCCGCCTCTTTCTGCGCACTAGAAAGTTCCACCCACGGGAGCAGTCAGCCTGAAACTCACGAGCGTTTGCGTGTCTCTTCGGTAGGCTCAAAGCAGCCTATAATGCCGAAATTGAAGACCGATGCGTACTCGGCTTCGTGGTGTTCACGCTGCGGAGGACTTTCTGGGTGGGAGACGCGTTATCCACTACAGGTCCGCTTGTTGTGCATATGTCCCGTCTATCGTGGCTGTCCAATCCCTCCGGATACGACGGATGTCCATCCTGGATCAGGAAAGTGCTCCTCTGGATCATCTTAGAACACATCGCCATGATGCCAGTCATTTATCTAGGCACATGAAGGGATGCGGGTGAAAGACTAGGGAGCACGTTCGGATGTCTAAGTGGGTTCAGCAGGATCCGTTCCGCTTGCTCGTTCCGACGTTAAAGATTATGCGACAATGGTGGTCGTTCACCTGAGTCCCAGGGTGGGCTTCATTGCCATCGGTTTTCTCTGGGGTTTGCCAGCAGTTCTGTTGGCTTCGGGGAGGAAACCCCTTAGTGTGTCGTGTGCTCACATGCCATGCACGCACAAATTGACCAGTAGAGTAGACTATCAGCCAAGAGACCCTGCCAAAGTTTTCAGTGAAGGAGAGTGCGGGTGAAGGTCTTCGAGTGCAAGGGCAATAGAATGATCGCCCACCGGTCTGCCGCTGGCTTACCCATGTCAGCACAAATTTGCCATGCTACCTTCTGCAATGCGCGTGTGCGCTTGACCGGGAATCAGCCTTCTGGCCATTGAACATACGAGCACATGACTGAACTTTCCATAATATGACGCCCGGTCGGACACGGATAAGTGACCCAAAGGACTACGAGGGGGTATGTAAGGAGCAAATAGTACTGTCAGCGACTTCTCTCTGGAAAAGATCAACAGGCTATGTGAACACCCAGAGTTCTACCGTGGTCCTCTTTTCCTGATCTTCAACTTCGAAACAGCCCCCACAGCCGCCTTCTACTCAGAGATGGCGGAAAGCCTTGCCAGGTAACCTCACTCCCTCGCGCCAACGACCCATTCCAGCCCCCCAGTGACGTGCTGGATGAAATAATCCTCGTTGTAGGTCTCGACAGTATGGCCCTGGCCCGTGTACCACGCCCTGGCCTTCCCCTCGAACAGGTGGTACCACGAGATCGGGTGGGTGGGTTTCATGCTCAGATACGCCGGCGTGATGTCGTCGATGTAGGTCTCGTTCAGGGTAGCGAGGACGGTGAAGTTTGGCGACAGTCCGACGTTGTCCCTGTACGAGTACCACTCGTCTGTGCGGTTGTGGCTCGTGGGGAGGCCGGCGGTTGAAGGGTGGTTGGGGTCCTGGATGGTTATGATGTCGTTGCGGATGTTTCCGCCTGTTCTTGAGGTCAAACTATGCTCTGAGTTTGTTGAGAGACACGCAAGATGGCAGAACCTTACCGGGAGGATAGCGCTCTTTCTGTTCCGCAGTGCATGTCCAGTCTGGAGAGCAGGGGTGGAACTCAAACTTTGTTCCAACACGTCAGGAGCTGTGGTTTATGGTCTCCCACTGAATAGATACTTACCTGAGACCCAACCAGAGTAGTATACCAAGGCGGCGTGGCATTCCAAAAGTCCGCGGCTATTTCGACTTGGTCAGCAATGGAAAGGTCTTCATGAGTAGCCGGCAAGAGAGCAACGACGGACCCGCGTGGATGCCCAGCCAGGAGCCACCGTTGACTAGGAATTCGTACAGGCCGTCAAACTCGGCCTCTACCAAGAAGTCGCCCGTGGTGTGGAGGAAAGCCATGGTCGTGTAATTGCTCAGAGCTCCCGGAGTGGTGAAGATTGAGGAATCCTCCGTTGCCGTGACGGGCCATCCGTTCTTGTTGGCGATCGAGGTGACAAGATCAATTGCGTTAGGGATGCTACATATGGAGTAAGTTTCAAATCAGAAATGGACGGTATGAAGGGCTACTTGCCTGTCGTGGCGATACCCAGCGGTTTTGGTGAAGACCAAGATGCTCGGCGTAGACGATATAGCTATAGCCAGGTTAGGAAACGGCGAAGGGCATGTCGAAACCGTGATTATAACTTACGGGCGCCAAGGGTTTGTGTCGCTGCCGCAGCTGCAATAGCTGCCAGACTATGTGTGAACTTCATTATAAGGTTACCTAGGTAGAAAGGCAAGGACCAAGCCGTGTATGTGTGTCGGTTTGGGCTCAACACCTCCACAGAACTGCAGAGTTTCGCTCTTTTATCATTGCTGCCGCTTGCTAGCCTCGGTGCAACATCACTCGAGTATACTACGCCGGCGCCTGTTTCCCCAGCTGGGTTGAATGTTTTGCCTTTGTCATTGGACTGGATTGGAAGGTGTCTGTCTGGCCCCCGGATATACCCTCACATTCTCCATATAGATAGGTACGTGGGGTTATAGGTAGCAATACTTCTTCGTCCGCAGTATCTGAGTGTGAGTCAAGGTTCCCTGCGACCCTACACCGGACTGACAATATAGATGCTACTCCATAGTAAGTGTTCCATTCCTTGGAACCGTGCCTGTGTGCCGGCAGCGTATACTTCGCATTAATATCTTGGCAAAAATGACGACTGATGGTTACTCGGGAGCCATATCTGTTAACGCAACTAATACCCTCAAACTTTAACCACGGTTCATATAACACCTACGGTTCGTGTGATAGATGTGTCGACGAAAGCTGTCAAGAACGAGCCGTAATTCGATCAGTGAACATGGCTTGGTATATCTAATCGTGAAGTATTCCACCTCTGCCGTATACGGATTTCAATCGTTCTCGTCCTGGTTCCTGTGGATCCTAACGGTAGACGATATGCTTAAATCCTTCAGTTCAAGCTCCAGGCTACATGTCACTTAAGATTGCCGCCATCGGCATATTGCAAAGCTACCCCGCGAGTGCATTCGAGATCGAGTCCGTACTCCACCGTTTAGGCGGGGCCCCCGCCTACACAACCAGGGGAACGAGCGGGGGAAACCATATGGGGGAACCAGATAAACGAGAGCGAGGTGAGGCTTGGCGGGCGGTTGGGTCTCTTATAGAAAAGAAAAGCCGACGAAAGTGGGCTTAAGGAACTGAAACCACTGCTCTAGTCTGGACTGCTATTTCTGAGGTCTGTTGTGGTTTTGGAAGTTGGTCTGAGAGGAGGAATGTCGTTGAGAACGTGATATTCTTACTCCTCGCACTGATTTGAATGGCTAGCCCCAGAGCCCTCGCGGCTCCCAAGCTTTGCACCTCACGCTCTCCGAATTCGAGCCACAGCCAGCTTCATCCCGCGGTCCGCCAAGTGTACGAGCTTCAAAATTGACGCGAGGCGGGAGAGCTGGTAAAATCTCATAGCTACGTAGCCAGATGCACTGATCCTAACTGTTGCCAGACTTGAGACAGCTCTTCGGTCGATGGTGACAGCTAGTAGTTGTGTACCTCACATAACTTGGAGCGTTTTCCTGTAAAGAAACGACTAATGGTTCAATTTTGATATCTACCAGACGCCTTGCTACGAATGCAAAATGCACAACGCCCCTTTCCTACCCTGTGATGTCCTCCAATTGGTGTCCACCGGGTCACAGATGCAAAACCAGACCTAGCTCAGGTCATACTATGGTCCCAAGAGACACATGTATGTACGTATATATACAAAAATGAACAAGAACGAAGACCCAAAACCACGGCGTTTTGCAAGCACCTCAAAGCTCCCTAGCCTTCATCCAGGCGGTGGTGCCGATGCCGAGGTTGAGGCCGTTCTCGGCCCACCAACGGCGGACCTCGGTCTGGTCGCCGAGCGCGTCCTCGAGGGACTCTTCGATGTCCATCATGCGGTACTCGACCTTCTTGGCGCGGCGGCCGTCCATCCCCGGCAGTTCGCCGTGGGCGTATCGCAGCCACCAGTCGAGGACGCCGATGTGCGAGTAGAGGGTGGGCTCCGTCAGGATGGAGCTGTCGAAGCTCAGCTTGTCGTCGCCCTTGAGCTCGCGCCACAGCTCCAGCACTGCGACCCGCCCGTACCGCGACGCCACCTTGCACACCTGCTCCTCGTGCCCGAAGGTGATGCCCGACCCGTCCCACCAGCGGATCGCGTCCAGCTGCCCATACTGCGCCGCCGCTAGGATGGACTTACCCGGCTTGAGCGAGATGTCGGCCGGGTTCTGGAGGTACGCCTCGCGCCACCACTCCAGCACGTGGATGTAGCCCCTCGCCGAAGCCTGCTCCAGCGCCGCAGCCGTGTACTTGAGCGGCAGGCCCGAGCGTCGCCACCACTCCAGAACGTGGACGTAGCCGTTCTGGCTCGCGACGTCGACGGCCTCGTTGTCGTACTGCTTCTGCAGGAAGGAGGGGCTGCGCGCCCACCAGTCCAGGATCTCGATGCGGCCGTAGTAGGCGGACGCCTTGGTGGGGATGGTCTTGCCGTCGAAGCACTTGAACATGTGGGGGCAGTTGGCCTCGATATAGCTGAGGACATCGGTCAGGGTGAACTTGAAGATGAGCTTGATGGCCAGGGCGCTGAGCTCGTGGAACGAGTCGGGAGCCTCGGACAGCTTCTTGCAGATGGCGTCGGAGCTCGCGCTCAGGATGGTCCACTCGAGCTCGTGCTGGTAGACCGAAAGGGGGTCCGCATGGTCGCGCGGCTCGAGGCGCCAGCCGAGATGTGTAGGCACGGGGAGGTTGGTGTAGATGCCACAGGCCTGGGCGAGCTCCCAGTCGCCGGTATGCTCGAAAATGATGCTCCACAGCTCGGCGGGGAGCGTGGCGCTCGATTTCTTGCTGTTTTTGGCGACGAGCCCCTGGGTGGCGGCGTCAACGTCGTGGCCCAGCGACAGGAGATCGGCCTGGTTCTTGATGATGGTGACGAGCTCGTTCAGGGCTCCCCACTTGGCTACTCTCTTGGGCACGCCGTGGTGCTCGGGTCCGTCGTAGGACCACAAGATGGGCTGGAGAACCCGGATCCATTGCCACTTCCTGTGCAGCTTCCCCATCTGCTTCCTGGTGACGGGGTTCTCCCACATGTGGGTGGACATGCCGGGCACCATGAGGATCCTCTTGGAGGCGTCCCAGCTGCGCAGGACCTCCAACAGTAGCGTGTCTGCGATGCCGCCCATCATCTTGGCCAGATTGTCGGTGTCGATGGGGGCCAGGACCAGGAGATCTGCCCATTCGACCAACTCGAATGCACGGTAGTGTAGGTCGTCCATCTCCCTGGAGCACCCATCGCCCTTGGTGTTGAACGATTTGTTCTGGTAGCAGACAATCTCCTGGGCGAGCCTGTGGGTCATGTCGTCGACAATGGCGCGGACGACGATCTGGGACTCCTTGGAGAGCCTGACGGCTAGGGTCTGAGCCCAGGCGACGTCCTTGGGGCCGTTTGCGGCGACAAGGAGCTTTAGTTTGCGCGGTCGCTGCATCTCGTTGATGGAGACGGCCGAAGAGAGTCTACCGAGACCTCGGGGTATGACTGGAGGCCTGGGTGGCGGTTCGTCTGCTGAAGTAGAGGCGTCTGCTGCCGAGGAGGAGGCCATGTTGGGCTGCGATGCGAGTTGGGCAATGCAGGACGGGACAGGACAGGGTCGGGTCAGGTCAGGTCAGGCCTGGTCAGGACGAGACGAGAACGAGATGAAGAGCGAGCGGCTGCTGGAGTGAGTTGAATATGCAGATGGAAACAGAAAAGGAGGCTGATTTAATCTGCAGGTAGCGACGAGGAAGCGGTCAATGTGGATATTTCTTTTTCTGTAGGGCCTGACATCAGACGTGGATGCATGCGCTGGGGGCCCGGAGAGTCGAGTGGGGAGCCAGCGAGCTTGGCAAGGCGTGGGCTGGGACGGCGCCGTTGGACCCCTTATTCGAGCAGCAGGCGTGTTCGAGGTGTCGAGGTGCGGCAAATGTGGGTGCGCCTGTTTCCAAGCAGCCAAGTCCGGATCGAGTCGGGTCGAGTCGAGAACAGCACGGGAGAGACAAGGTGTTGTGTGGGTCTGGCTTGTCGCGCTCAGGGACAAGGCCGCGTTCGAGGGAGGGTCACCGAGAGAGGTCGTTGTTGGTGGTGGATAGTGGCAGTCGGGCAGCCAGCCAGCCAGTCAATCAATAAATAGGATGTAGTCCTCGTGCAGATTGAGGATTGTAGTCGGCGGTTTGCAGGTGTGGTGCAAGAGACGGTGAGAGGATGCAGATGTGTGTGATCGGTCGAGACGTCAACTCAAGGGTGGTTGAACTTGACTTGCTGCAGGTTGGAGGTCCCGTACCTACCGTACCGTTCCGCGTCCATGAGACCAATCACACCCAGTGTATTAGCCTAGTCCTGATCGGGCTGTCGGGTTGGGCTGGCTGGACTGGGCGCACTGACTGACTGGACACTGACTGGAGAAGGAGCTCTCATGCCCATGCGGAGATCGTCCAGAAGGAAGCAACCCTTTCTGACTTGAACGTTTCTTTGAGTCAACCCCACCGCCTTCGGTCGCCCTCATCATCATGATGCACGTTGCATCACGCTTGCACGACTTGGTTGCTGCCCCTCCGCCATCTCCGTCCTTTCTGTGCTGCAGGCCACAGTAATTAGTCTACTTGCCCACCGGTCAATTCTCATACGGCCGCGTCTGCGAATGGTTCTCCCTGCTGCATTTTGTCTTTTCTGTCTGTTGGCAAGATGCAGGCCAGAGTATAACAAACCACTGCACGCTGTGTGTCTCTTTTCCTTGGTTTGAAGGCTGCCAGCATCTGCCGTGTGGCCTGGTCTAGCCTACATGCGCCATGCCATGCAGCATTTGGCCCAAGGGGGCATGTGATAACGTAGTGTCACCCAGCTGAAGCCTTGACACACTCGGCCCTGCAGACCCGAGTATTCTTATTTGATTTTTGACTTCTTCGCACCTTGGCAACCGTGTTCTCGTCGTCGACGGTCTCTTTTTGGCTTGGGACTGGACTTGGCCCTCGACCTAGCGCGGAGGAGGGCCACGACTGTCTCTCTGTTTACCTTTCGTACCTGTGTTGAGTTCCACCACTTCCGCATTTCATGACTGGGCATTGATTACTTTGTCAAAACATCTACGCCGTACGCTAATTGGCTCGTCCAGTGCCCGGTTCTCACATATCATATTCGGTCTACCTCCCCGGCATCAGACTCCACAGCCCGTCACACCACAGACTTGAAGCCGTACTTCTCGGACTGCAGCTGAGTGGAAGCCCCGACCGCAGCGTTGCTCCCGCTGGCGATGGCAGTGGGCACCACCTTGTTGGGCGTCATACAGTCACCGGCCGCGAACACGCCTCGAACGCTGGTCTGGTGAAACGGTGGCTCGGCCTGGATGTCGCCCAGCGGGCTCGTCGCCAGCCCTAGCTGGCCCACAAACGGCCCGCCCGGCACTGTCAGCGGCTGGTTGACCAGGAATTTCTCCCTCCTGCTGCTCCCGTCCTCGAACTCCACCGCCACCGAGTCGCCTTCGCCGTCTCCCTCGCCCGCGGCTGCAAGACGCCTGATCTTCCGCGGCTCCACCGTCCACCCGGCCTGCTTCCTGGCCGCGGCCTTGAGCCCGGCCGCCAGCGCCTTGTCCCCGTTGGCGTACAGCGTTACGCTCCCAGCCAGCTGCGCTGCGTTGGCTGCCGCGTGCACTGCCACCATAACCAGCATGTCCGTCGGCAGGGCCACCGGCGCAACCGCCAGCACGCCCGCCGACTCAGCACCGCGGTCCTCGTAGCCTTTACAAAACAGGCAATGAAAGATACGCGTGCCCCAGAGAGCGTCGAACCCCTCGATCCGTGGGAACACGTCCGTCGACCCGATCGCCAGGAGGACCTTGCGCGACCTCCATGTCTTTCCGTCCGCGTCCGTCGTGACGAAGTGCGCGTCGCCCTTCTTCTGCACCTTGGTCACCGCCACATCCTGGAACTCGACCGTGCTGTACTTCGACGTGATGCCCTCCCTCGCCTCGCGCCGGAACTCGGCCGGGTCTTTCCCTTCGAGGCTGGGCACCATGTGCATTTCCTTGGACATCGCGTTGCGGTACTTGTTGGAGTCGAAGACGACGGCCGTATGGAGCTGGCGGGCTAGTGTGGCTGCCGCCGTGAGCCCTGCGGGTCCCCCGCCGATGATGGCGACGTCGCAGAAGGCCATTGCCGCTGTAGTGAAAAGTGGGACTGTGAGCTGATGAGACAATGTCTTTCTTTTCTTTTGTGGTGATGAGCCTGGTATGCGGCAAATGCAGTCAGTCCGGCTTTAACGGTAAGCAGTCGTCATCAACTCTGGGAAAGCTTTCTCGCGAGGTTGTTAATGACTGGTGTGACTGTTCTGAAAATTTGTCCCGAATAGTCAGGCTACATACTGTGGGTCAGATTCGCGTGCAGACGTGAGACGGTCTGACGGGCGAAAGTCTCATATGCCAGCTTGCATGCATGACTAGAGGCGATGAACCCGATTCTATGAATGTTTCGTGAATATTCCGTGAGTATTGCTCAAGCTACCAGCACAGCAATCAGTAAAATTGTCACCTCTGAAGAAGTTCAACCTCTACCTAGGTATGTATACAAAATACGTCTCTAGAAGACTTTGAGCGAGAAATCCCCCGCTGCCATTGGTGAGATGTGAGAACTTTAATTCCCAGTACACAACGCCTGTTCCCTCCACCCGGTCACCGGCTTTCGGGTAAGCGATTCATCAATGGGCCGAGTGGATATCCCACTTGAAATCTTATCGAGCTGTCGTGCCGGGCCGCAAGTTTAAAAACCCGAACGTCTTACCGCTAGACGACACTTTTAGGCAAAAGAACTGTGCGTGTTAATGTGCAACCCCAATGGCCCAGCTTATCTTCAGAGCCATGCAATCACTCACCCCGAGTCCTTTATGGCTTCTCTTGTCTCTTGAGGCGCCCAAGAATTTCGTATGATACTGTTAGTGGACACGTAGTCTTTCATCATTTGCTACCTCAATTGAAGATCGGTGTGTTCCACTCTTCAGGTACTTTTCAACATGGCATGGAGGATGTGGTTCACGGTATCCTACGCCGGTCATAAATTGTATCCATGCCGTGGTGGGCCCCCAGGCGACGTTAAGAAGATAGCACCATCACAGAGTTTCTAGGCGTTCGAAATGAGGTTCAGAAGGCTTCACCCGCCTGATTAGTCAGGCATTGGCGACAATGTGCAGCTGAGATTGGTTTTGCACACCTGAGTCTCAAAATCTCTCGCGGCATTTCATAGTTACAAAGCCTTACTGGATGTTGGAGATTACGACTCATGTAGCAATTGCAGTTTCAAAGCACCCTGAAAAGCGCTTATTAACCTCCTCAAATGCGAACAGCGTGCTGACAAAACCTCGGGTGTAGCCCCAAACATTGGTCAGTCGCCATGGTGTGGGGCCGTTCCGGTAGAACAACGTTACGGGAGACAATAAAGATCACAGGCATCTCTTCGCATATTCAGAGCTTATGCAAGACCGATGCAGCAATTAACTTTATTTACTCACAGACACTCTCTTGTTTTGAGTTCAGCCGCCATAATGACAGACCAATTCGCCTTCACCTACCCGTCGCCTCTCGAAGGCTACGAGAATGAGCCCCCGCTGCCGGAAGAGACATCCGAGGACGGGAAGAGCTTGAAGAACCCCCACACAGGCGTCCTGAGCAAGGCGTACGACACATTCATCGACCCGCTGGATAAGGGCAGGCGAGGCGGTTTGTGAGTTTTCTCGGGACTATCGACAAGATTGGGGCGACCTAGCAACTAACTTGGCCGTCTGCACAGTGACATCCACGTCTACTACATGCAATCACAGCTGGGATACGCCCGCCAGCTGTACGACAGGATCAGGAGGGAGTGTACGACCCCCCCCCCCCAACGCGCAACTTGTGTGAAACCAAAGGCACTGACATCCCTTCCCTATGTAGTCCCCGAGCTCCGCATCTACCGCTTCTGGGAGAAGCCAGTCGGCCCCCACCCGTACGCCATGTTCGAGGTGAACCTCTTCACGCCCGCGCAGTTCGGCGCCTTCGTCCCCTGGCTCGTCATCTGGCGGGGACCCTTGTCGGCGCTGGTCCACCCGAACACGGTCGCGGGCGGGCCCGGGGCCCTCGAGTCGGAGGAGGAGCTGCGCAACCACACGCAGCGGGCGACGTGGCTGGGCGACAGGGTCCCGCTGGATCTGAGCATGTTCTATGCGTGGAGGCGGAAGGAGATTGAGGAGAGGGGGAAGGGTGCGAAGGGTGGCGCTTGAGGGGGTTTGTGTGTGGTCTTTTTATGGCCATATTGGGCGGGCTTGCATGATGCGATTATAAGTTGGGCTGGATTAAATACGCTGTCTTGGGGACCCATTTATCTGTTTCAATTCTATATCATTCATAAATTCATGTAGCATAGCTCGGAGAGATCATGTCTACGGCTATCCTCTTCATCTGCCCGCTTTGGGCATTTAATTGATGCGAGGCAGGCCGAATTGTTTAAGTGTGTGCCTCTTCCTCGTCTCGCAGTTGTAAGCAAACATTATCCAGCCATCATACGTACCGCAGTAAATTTGTCTTCCCAGTCGACAAAGTACTCTTTACGTCCTGGTATGATGATAAGTTACCTGACTCCAAAAAGAATACTGCTGTTGTGGGACATGAGTGAACCCAGGCTCTGGCAATGCCTCACTGGTCTACGTCTTCTTCATTCAGGTACTCGCAACTTGGCAAGTGCACCTTCGTCCTGGGTGCTGATCTAAAGCTTTTGAGACGCATGACAACCAGTCACCATCATGCCACGCAGCGAGAATGAAGAAACACTCAATGAAGTAGGGTATCTGGGCCCGCCTAGAGTTTTGTGTTATCTACGAGCTCGAATCACCACTCCATTTGCCCCTTGTCCACATGCATCGACACGACATAAAGTCTAATGCGTTGAACCCACGCAACTTTAGTCCCTGTATTGGCCCTGTGGAAGGTACTGCCACTTGGAAAAGTACGCGGGGGTGTTCCCATCGCCCCCATTAGTTGTGGCATAGACCCCGAGGATAACGCCTGGCGTGTTAATGTTGATGTCAGTTTCCCTCCTCAAACTTGAATGTCGCGCACAAGTAGGGAGGGCGCTCACCTGTAAAACCCCAGCTCACAGCATCGCTCGATGAAGTCACCAGAGTCTGCGTCAGGGACTGCGCATCAGCAGGACCGACTGAGAACGAATAATGTGTCATGTTGGCGGCCTTGATCTCGAGACTGAGTGGGCTTTCACGCCACGCGCTGGGTATTGGAGCAACGACTGTAGCAGGCGTCGTCACGGACGAGATGCCCCGGAACCGGATCTGGGGGATTAGTTCCGAGGAGTCACCTGGTTCCGATGCGGACTCCCCCGGGAAAGCAGTCGTGCTCTCGCTCGTTGGCAGCAACACAACCCCGATGTCGAGGTGGTGGTTCTGGGTCAGGAAGACCGACACGCCTGCCTCCTCACCATTTTCGGTCGGGGAGTAGTCGAGGACGACTCGGTACGTGAACAGCGTGTCCTGCTGCCGTCGGCCGACGAACGTCTGGCCGCCGAGGTCCGGCCCGGCGTAGTTCCCGTTCAGGGCCGTGAGGTTGAGCTTGGAAGGGCTCAGCCGCAGGGTGTTCGGGTGGCCTTCCGGAGAGACGCTGAACTTGTTCGGGTCGGGATATCTCCAGTATGTGAAGTGAGCGGGCAGCTCTGACCCCGGGGCGAAGTCGATGTCGTCTCCCTCGTCGATGAACGGGCCCGAGCCGCCGATCTCCTTGTTTTCCGGCGGCAGGGCCCAGCCGTTCACTTGGCCGCTGATATTTGTCCAGACTGGAAACTCGCCCTCGTCCCATGTGACCGCTGTCATCACCGTCTCACGCCCCATTGGGTAGTACTGATCACCCGGGCCGGAACGCGTCGACAATGCAACCCCCCACCAGTTCCCTGCCTGGTCCTGGAACAAGTCCGCGTGGCCGACAGTTTGGAAGTAGCTGGTGGTATTGGCGTTGGTCAACACGGGGTTAGCAGGATCGGACTCATACGGCCCGAAGAGGTCCTTCGACCGCGCCATGGTCACCATGTGGTTCATCCCCGTGCCCCCTTCCGCGACAAGCAGGTAGTACCACCCGTCTTTGCGGTAGAGGTGCGGCCCCTCCGGCGCACGCCCACCGGTGCCGTTCCACAGGTTCAGCCAGTCGCCGACCTCGCCCGTCTCGAGGTCCGCCTCTGCGATCTCGAGGGCGGGGTAGACCTTGAATGCGTGCGAGCCGACGATGTAAGTCTTGCCTTCGTCGTCCCAGAATGGTTCGGTGTCATAGCCCTCGAACTTGAAGTGGACTGCATTCGTCCATGATGAGGGTTCGTACGGGTCAGGCGACTTGAAGATGATCTACAGCTCAGGGAATTAGTAGACAAGCTATGTGACGGTGTAGATTTCATAACAACTCACATTGTCCCATCGCGTAGCATCATCTGCCTCGCGATCATCTTCAACAAGCGTCGTCACGAGCCAGAAGGTCTCATCGTGGTATCTGAGCGTTGGTGCCCAAATTCCGCTGAGCTCAAATATTAGCATCATTTCTTCTCTAATTTGAGTATCTGATTACTTACGCCGTAGACCTATTGGTGTAAGCCAACTCTGGGAGCTGCTCCTCCCTGTTGAGCACATGTGCTATTCCAGTTTAGCTGTGCGCCTTGTCACCTGCAGGCGACCGGCAGGGAGACCGTACCTATCAACTCCCAGTTCTGGAGGTCTTTGCTCGCATGAATGGGAATACCTGTGAAGGCATTGAAGCTTGATGAGGCACAGAAAAACGTGTCGTCCCACTCGGGCACAAATATACAACTAGGGTCAGGATGGAAGCCTGGTAGTATTGGATTGTTAAAGGTGGAATTTTGAGCCTCTGCCAGAGCTGACAGGGCCGCCACCATAAGGTAGCACAGGCTCTTTGACAATCTGGGCATTTTCACTGGCCGCGAGTTAACTACTGGACAGAAATCAGACAGACCAACGGTCCAACATGAATGCTTTATAACATCAATTCATCCAGTACCTGTTTCGTGCATCTGTCCCATCGTCGTTCCCCGCATCAATGAGCCTCATTGGGATCCCGGGTAAATGTAGAGTCTACTACTCCACAGAATTGTTCGCGTGCTGCGTGAGGGGATTGCGGGGCATTGTTTTCCTCAAGCCGGTGAGAATTGAGCCGAGGCGACATTTCAACATGAGGATTGATGCAGGAAAAGCCTTGGCCCACGAACTGTGGTTAGAAACTTCGCGATGGTGAGATCTCAGTGCTGGAAAAATTTTGTGGTTGAGCAGCCAGAGACGATGACGTCGGATGAGTTTGTCTTCCCGGGCACTTGGCTTTCATCATGCTGTCGTGATCATTCACAATTCTGAAGATGATGCTGGCGTATTCCGTTGACTTTTCTCCTGTATCTTCTGTATTTCTTCTTGCTGTTTTTTTCTTCTTGCTTTTCCTCTGATTTTCTTTTGGATCCTGGGCGCACTTATCACTTCTCAACGAATTCAACATTGATGAGACGTCACATGGGCTCCACAGCACAGAAGCTCGAAATGCGCACCAAATTATACCTAATTAATGATAATTGTAGTTTTAATAATTAGAAGTGCTAGATACTTAACCTTAAATAAACTTATTAAGCTAAATAAGCTGTGGACATTAAGGATCCATAATGGTATTCAGAAGTTTGCCCAGGAACCCACCAGTGCTTAGTGCTATATTAGACTCTTGAGAGCTGAGTGGTAGACTTATGGTTTAGTCATTTTATCTGTCTTGATTCCCAGCTTGATGTCTCACACCAGAAGACACAGCAGCCTGGGAATTGTGCCTTTGGTCAAGCGGCCTAGCTTTTCAGTGGCGAGTTGACAGGAGAGTGATCTTGGTAAGTAGACTCTTGATTCTATCCTCTGTGACTAAGTTGATGCCTCGGATCAAGTTATGAGCTCCTGGGAGAGTGGGCACGGGGTTTGTGTGCTTGATGCCCTGCAGGAGACGTGTTTGTATAGTCACCAGCTCCGAGAATTGAATATAGTCAATCATACATTCTGTCAAAATATCCGGCCTCTGGAAGAAACAATCATTATCTATCTATCTTCAGTTGCCCAATGATTCTATTGCAGGTAAACCTCATAGTCTAGTCTCTCCCTTCAAAGTCAAAATTATCATTAGATCCTTCCAACAGCTTGGAAGCTGTCTACCAGCAGGATACTGTGTCGCTAGCCGCTGGGCCTTTCAATCATGTGCAATGTCCCTTAGCTTTTTGGTGTCAAGGAAGGAGTGGCCGTGATTCCATGCGCCCGGAAATGTCGGATCATGAATGTACCTGCCTAGCGGCACAAGACATGACCAGCTGTTTTGACCAATTGACCAATACTTGTTGTGACTTTTCGCTTATGCGGTTTCAGCTCAGCTATGCGGAACTATTTTGGCCGGTCAGCTTTTGCCTTGTACGACCCAGGCAGCGCATATTTATTTCTGCTTCCATGCTGCTTGGTCATTTGCATTCCCTTTCCACGTTTGTCGAGACCCAATCACATCTCTCTATTCTTCTGGTTGCAACGAGTGTTCCCGCTGGAAAAGCCTGCCATTGTTGCTATTGGCTTTCGCAAATTACTTGCCTCAAGCACTTGGGCGGAATCTCAGTACTATGGCCACCTCTTACGTTCTCGTGAACCAGCCGAGGACAATTTTAGGTCCACTAACTACGACGTGTACACCTCCAATATCCTGCGGAAATGTTTGTTTTTCAGTCATTCCTTGGGATGATCACAGGGCTGGATGGCGTGGCCAATCTTGCACTGCTACCAACGCTATGGTAAGTTTGAGACCCTGTAGACAGTGAGATACTCCCAAAGCCATCGTGACCTCTGATCGACCCGAGATTAAGGATTTCTGATTGTGCAGATTGACGCAACCCAGTGCTAGCCACCAACAACAGCGGGTGCGTCGTATCCATCTCTGCTTTTCAACGGATGGGGCTTCTACTCTCCTAGCCTCGTCTGTCCTCATGGCTATACCAGTGCGTGCACAGCTACTGCCAAAGGCGGCGCCCAGTGGCCTTTGCAGTTCGAGATGACAGAGGGGGAGACTGCAGTAAGTTGTTGCCCGACGTGTGTCGACTCCCATTGAGTCCTGTTTACTTCCCTTTCTCAAGGAGACTCTTCCCAGCTGACCGCACTTAATAATGTCTGTTCAGTGGATATACATGCACTAATTCGAACACCTACGGAGAAAGTTGCGTACTCGAAACCACCTCGACCATCATGACACTGGCGACGTGCGATTCGGCAGCAAGCATGATCTCGTTCTCGGAGACGTTCCCACTTGTCACCACCCTGCTTACCCCGGAGACCTCGGTTTCGACAGGGGGCGACCTTTCTATCATTTCCACCACCACGATCGAGACGATGACGGCCTGGGCACCCATGATCCAGATCAACTGGAGATCTACAGACCTAGCCAACGAGGAGCCCAGTAGGACAGTATCCGTAGGCTCGATCATTGGGATTACTGTCGGTTGTGTTGTGGCGATACTAGCCGCGTGTGCTACATGGTTTCTGTTAAGACGCAGGCGACGAACAAAGCCACAAGCCGGTACCAAAGAACGGGAGGAACATCAACTTAGAATATCACAACCGCTGCGTCAGGACCACGGGCCTTCCGCACTGGCTGAGCTGGAACATCCAACGAAGCCCCTCGAGATGGCTGGAACGCAATGTGTTGCCGAAATGGAGGCCACCGGCTCCGAAGGCGATATTGTAAGCCAGCGGCAGGAATCAATAGCGACTTCTCAAGTAAGAATTCGGGAGGATTGGGATTGGGGGGGCCCATCCACGCCCAGATTGTCTGCACTTACAGCAGCAGCTTTGGAACAGGGGGGGGGGGTCTGAAAGCGAGGCCTGTTGATTAATATGATACCTTCCATCATCAATTTCCATCATCAATGTGTTCGGCCTAGTATCATACGGTAGGGCAACACCGCATGATGGCTACTTGGGCTCGACAAGCGTCACCATCCAGAGGATCCATGGTGCTCAGCTCTTCTTGTTCGTAAAGTCTGACAGCTTGACAATAAAGCCAGGTAAACCGTATGAAGTTCGAACTGAAGTGCAGTACTGTGACTACTCATAGATGGTGTTTCCGTCATGACACCGCCCGTCCGCGACAGCTGTGGAATACCATACAAGAGTCAACTCCACTTAGTCCTGGCTCGGTTGATTTACATGGTGATGCTGCCCTGAATTGCGAAAGCGTGAGCAACTCTCCATAGTGAGAAGCAGCAAGAGCGTTGGATCCACTGACCTGTGCGGAATCTTTTTACCAACCGGAGCATGCCGCCCAGCCCGAGGCCCCTCACGATGCCACATTACTGACTCCAAACATCAGCCTGCTGGAACAAACGGGCGTTCAATCCTGCTCCAGCTGATGTCGGATTCAACCACTTCCAGAAAGGATCAGCGCTCTCGGACAAGGCAACCTTTAGCAACCCGAACAGAAACGAGCATCGAGATGCGTCTCAGGCGGAATTGACGCCTACAGAACACAACTTACTTCCTGTGGCCACACGGAATACTGCTGCTGGTCGTTGGTCGGGAAGAGCGCCTGCCCAGCTCAACGCTGCCTTCAGCCAGGTTGCTATCCCCAATTGTCCAGAACAGAGCAAGCAACTGATGCAACAAAGAGGGTTAAACCCTTAGCGGAAGTACGCCCTGTGATACCGAGGTAAAGAGAGTAAGCCGCTCCGATGATGTAATCAGAATACATTATAACCCATGCATTCAATGTTGGAAACAACTCACCCCTTAAGCCTGAGTAATATTGAAGTCAACACCAAACACCCCACCCAAGCCTCGAAATGCCACCCAAGACAGCATCAGAGAAAGTGAACCAGGTCGCCCGCAATGACGGGGTGTAAGTCCAAGTCTTTCCGGAATGCTAGCTCCTCACGGTAGTTCTTACAGAGACACGCAGCGTCAACCCATCCGGCGCCGCCATCAGCGGCTTCGGAGCAGCATACCTCATAGGCGTCCCCATCACCTCCAGCATCACCAAAGCAGACGGCGTGTTCCACGGCCTCATCCAGCGACTCTTCGAGGTCTTCCCCGGCGGCATAGCCCCGGGCCGCACCATCCCAGCCCTGACGGCCTTCTACGTGTTCATGACCTTCGGGGCGTCGGGCGCCATCTCGGCCGCGGGCCAGGCCATGGGCCGCCGCGAGGGCCTGGACAACAACACGCCGCGCAAGCACGTCCACACCCTGGACGGGCTGCCGCTGCGCATGCGGTCCGCGCACTACGGCCTGCTGGAGAACTTTGCCGGGTTCGCCGTCGCGGCGTCCCTGGCGCAGAGCCTGGCGCCTGCTGATGCGCAGATTGCGAACCTGCTGGGGCTGCATGTGCTGTTGAAGACGGGCTTGTACTATGTTAGCTACCTGGCCGACGTCGCGCCCCCTCGCACGTTGAGCCATGTGTTGGCGACCAGCGCGGTGATCAATGTCTGCTGGAGGTTGGCGAACGGTGCTTAGCTAGGTACATGTCACCCATGCTTCTTTTTAGGGGCCTGATACGAATTCTGCATGACAATGAAGTTTAAACATGTTCAAAATTCCGAACGTTAGATTTCGAGTACAACATGTTCATTCTTGCATATAAATTGAGCCAGTTCTGGTAGTGACAGGGAGAAAGCTTGACTGTACGACTGCAATAATCAACCACGACAGCTTTGCGGACAGACTTCTTGGGTAACGCTTAATCCTCTGCCCGTAATTTGAAGAATCCGTTGTACTTGGGGTGCACGAACCAAGCACATCGACTTTCCATCGGCTTGCCCGGATGCTCGAATTCGACATCGAACTTGCGGACAATTTGAGGCACCACCTTCGTTATCTCGAGCAGACTAATGTTCCTGCCAAGGCAGGTCCGAGACCCCCCCCCGAACTTTGAAGAAAGCTCTGTCAGCCCATATGCCCGTGATATATTTGTATTATCATTGAGGGTAGTGCCTTACCGCGAACATCATCGATTCCATGAGGCCGGTTTTCTCTTCGCCTATCCAACGTTCGGGTCTGAAGATCTCAGGATCTGGACCATAAACGTCCTTGTTCTGATGCAAGACCCAGGCATTCACCCCAACCTCGGTCTATTATTGAGTCTTAGTCAGCTGATTCAACCAAAGACATGATGGAGATCACATACTCCAGGCGGGAAATAGTAACCAGATAATTCCAAGCCCCCTGGGGGAACGACACGGGGTAGAATAGTTCCCACAGCGGGGTGAAGCCGTAATACTTCCTTAATGACAGCCTGGAGGTAGGGCAAGGCTTGAGCTTCCTGGAACGTAATCGGATCAGAGACCCGGCCTGCCGCGGCTTGTGTGTCGATCTCCTTCCTTAGTGTCTGTAGCTTGTCGCGATTGGTGTACAGGTAGTACAGACAGGCACTCAAGCTGATGGCCGTGGTGTCGGATCCGGCTGCAACATTGCTCCCGCAGGCATCCAGGATATTGGCCATTGTCACACGGCCTTGAGCTTCCAGGTCCAACACCTTTTTCAGGAACGTCTGATACATGGTGTCGCCCTTCTTTGTTGCCTCCTTGTTCGCCTCACGGGTCTCCGTTATTGTTTGGATGGCGTAATTCCACACGGGCAGAGCACCGGTCAGTGGACCGAGCGCTGCAGATAGACCTTTTGCCCATGGCACGATGTTGGGAATGATGCCATAGAAAGCCAGGGAATCGTTGGCTGAGTGTATCACTGGGATCATGCCACTCATGTCGCGCTCGTTCTCCATCATGTCGAAGCTTTTGCTGAACTAGATTGTCTCTGGTCACTATAGGCTCAGAAGGGGGCCACGCAAAATGTGTAACTCGTACGGTAATTTCGCCAATGACATCGAAAGCATAGTACTGCATCCATTGTGGTATGTTGACCAGGCGCCCTTGTTCGGCAAATTGTTGCATCTTTCGGATGCAGACGCTGTTCATCTCGTCGACAGCCTTTTCGTAAGTGACCATGGATGACATGGTGTACAGAGACGAGACCTTCCTTCGTCTTTCCTTGTGCAGCTCGTTGTCCTGTAAGCTGAAGATGTTTTGCTGCTCGATGTCGGCAACTTGCAGGGGTCTGTAGTAGTCGCTCTTGGAGTACTTTCCTCCCAGCTCGTAGATCGTCTTGACTCCGCTTGGTAGGCTGATGCTGTAGCGATTGGGTCCCACTCGCACGACCGGGCCTGGAACAACGAGTTTTACATGCCGTTAGCCAATTGTGCTCAAGGGCGGGAATAGAACACTGGGCACCAACCGTATTTCTTGTGCAAGTCAACATATTCAAGGTTCGAGACGCCTCTTTTCACCATGAAATATTCCCACCAGCGGGTGACTCGAGCCAGAGATGGACCAGGGACGTTCTTCAGAGGCGAGAAAAATAGGTCGTAGATAGTTCCGATGGTGTAATATGAGGCAATCAAGCAGAGAACCGTAGCCAGAATCTTGCCAGTGACTTGGATGAGGCCATCATCGTGCCGTCTTGGCAGATCCATCAGCTGCCAGAACACATCCGAGGAAACAAAGCTGGGTTTTCCAAATTTTGCCATGATTCTCCTGGCGTGCTCAGCAGTAGTGGCCGGTTTTAGTACTGCTTCGGTCGATTTTAAGCTTAGAGACGATATTGTGTTGTTTTTTTAACGCTGAGTGTTTAACCTTTTTTCACTGTATGCAGGGACTGGATGCATGTTGCTTAAGAAGCACATGTGGACAGATTAAAAACGGGACCACACACTTGAGCTTAGAGATTTTTGAGTCCAACCCTGACCAGGCACTGGGTTGTAGAGAAGAATAATCGGGGAGTCGGTCAACTCATCGGCCCGAGCATTACGGGCGACCGTCTACATGTCATGTTGCTGTCTAATAAGTTATTATTAGTAATAAGAGTGGCATGAATCATCCACGGATCTGCGGGGTTACAGAATGCACAAGAGAATGAGGGGTCGCCCATCGTCCGGAGACCACCAAGAAGCCCGTCCCCGCCTACCTAGATGGAGAAGGTGTACATGTTTCTTCTTCCGTACCCCACCGGGAATTCAAGACCCAGGTGGATCGATTCCCACCGTGTTAGTACTTGCCGTATGTGCCATGTAGTATTGGGTACTGCTTGGGTTGCCCTACTAGTAAACCAGGTCCAGGCCGCGGTCTGTTGATGCGTGCGTGGGTGGGACGGTGATAGAGCAAGAGTTCCCCTTCGCGTTCAATCTTGAAGGACAAATTTTTGCCTCATGCAGATTGATTCTCGAGCGGGTTCAACTGGAATGTTTGGAGCCCAAAACCAGGATAGTTAGCATATTCAGTCACAAAAACTAAGGGCGGATCGTACTTCCCGCTGGGTTTCGTTTACAAGGATAAAGAATGCTACCTGAGTTGAAAAGGTCACCTTCGATAGATTAGCTCTGAAAAAGGTCACTTTCGATAGATTAGCTCTGAAAAGTTCGAACCCTTTCAGTATCAATTCGTCCGCAGACTTTTCCAGAACCACCGAAATCATCTACCTACTCAGCTATCCGGATATGAGAATTCAAGAACGTCGCTCTGGTCGGTGTGAGTCGTCTCCCTCCACCCCCACTTACCGTCAGTTAAGCTAGGACCAGGCAAGTCGAAATATTGGGGTTTCCATCCAGGACCACCTTTCTACTCGGCCGGATTCGGCCTTTCGGGTCTCCGTGTTGACGCGGAGAGACTTAAGCGCCGAGTTCCCTCCGCGTCCTTTAATGTCATTCGCAACGGACTACAGCCCCGAGTCCTTAGAGCAAACCACAGATATTATATTTGCTAAATTAAGAGTAATTAAAATCTAATTCTCATTAGCTCAAAGGTAGAGCCGGATACTTCTAATATCCATCAAGGGGCAGGATGCAGTCGTACTGCTCCTCCCCTCCGCAGTCTTCTGTGCGGCACCAGACAGCCATCGATGCGGCCAGGCGAGCAGGCGTGAAACGGTTCTTCCCTTCTGAGTTCGGCGTGAGGACAAACCACCCTGCGTTTCACGATAATGTGGTCTTGTGTAATAAGAAGTGGTCCCACATCAAACACCTGGAAAAGACAAAGGATGTCATGAGCTGGACAGCTGTCTTTTGCAACCCCTGGATCGACCACGTACGTCCTCTTGTGTCCATATAGCGTGCCGTGATGGGTCTCCCTTTCTACGAAGCGGTGGCTGATCACCGCTTAATGTGTTATTGACAGCCTCATTGGCATATAGAGGGGATGACCAGGAAGCCGAATGGTCCCGGCACCTGGATGCTCGTTTTTTGGGAGCCAGAGTACGCCCACCCAGCTTCCACAGTACGCCCACCTAGCTTCCAGCGTTGGCCCACCCAGTACAAGGAAATTGGCTGCATGCACTAATAAAATATAAGTATACTTTGGATTTTACCCCTCCGCCCCTCTGCCCCTCCGCCCCTCCGCCCCTTTGCCCCTTTGAACTCTTTATGCCCCTTTACGCCCTTTATGCCCTTTTACACCCTTTATATCCCTTAAGGCCCTTTTTACCACTTAAGGCCCTTTATGCCTCCGGGGCCTTCTTTATTCTTAAAGGCCCTTTATTTCTTAAAAGCCCTCTTTACCCTTAGGGGCCCTTTAGCCAGGGTAGCCTTTTTAAGGATGCGGGGTAGATTTTTGCTTATTAAGAAAGTACTTAGTTTTATTAGCATATGCAGCCAATTTCCTTGTACTGGGTGGGCCAATGCTAAAAGCTGGGTGGGCGTACTGTGGAAGCTAGGTGGGCGTACTCTGCCTCGTTTTTTGGTGCAAACCCCACCAAAAATAAGCTTTTAAACTCTATAGCTTTAACGCTTATTTCTCACTTCATTAAACATTAAATATAATAAAAAGATATACTTATACTATTATTTAAAAGCTAAAGATTAAGAATAAAATACTTTTAAAATTATATATTAATATTAATAAATTATAAACAAAGTAAATAAAAGTTTTTATAATATATAATATAAAAGAAACTTTAAATTTTAAGAAATAAAATGAAAATAAAATTCTTATTTAAAAATATATATAAAATATAAAATATAATAAAATTCTTTAAAAGAATTAAAAATACTTCCTTTAAAAAAAAGGGGGGTATGAAAAAGAATTACTTTTATTTTTTTTATTAAATTTTATATAAGCTATAAATTTAATATAATAAAATATTTTATAATATATTTATATATTGTGATGAGCTTGGGCTATTGCCCAAGCCATAATGCATGCTTATGTCGGGCCTATACTGCACTTAACCCTCTTACGTAATAAGGCATATACTTAAAAGATAAATCCAAAGTTAAGCCCTTTTAAAACTTAACTTACTTCTTAAATATTATAATTTATAACTCCTTTTAAATACCTTTTAATAAATACTTAAGGCTAACTTATAATATTAAATTATAATCTTTAAACTATATTAAAAAGAATACTTATATTATAAAGGTAAATAACTTTATACTTAAAATATTAACCTTTTTATAAAATGCATAGCTAGGAATTCCTTAATTTACTTTAATATTAAATTATAAAAATACTTAAAAAGCGCCTTAACCCCCTTAGCTATTTATAATAATGCTTATTAATATTAATAATAATATTACTATATTTCTCCTTATAGCAATACTTTATTAACTTATAAAGCTTAAAGTATATATAAATTCTTTTAATTTACCCTTAATTTAATATAAATTGCTTTTAATTAAACCCTTATTTAATAATAATTAAAATAACTTTTTAACTTAAAAGATTATAATATAGTATAAGTTATAAATTAATATAAACTTTATTAAGGGTTTTTAAAAATATTAAATTTTTTTATAAAGTTAGTTATTTATTATAATATAATTATGTATTGCAATATTTTATAAATAAAGTAAGCCTTAAAACGGCTTTAATATAAATAAGTTTTTTAAATACTTAAAACATTATTATAAAAACTTATATTAATAAGTAGCTATTTTAATTAAATTTAAGGTATTTTAAATATAAAATTATAATAGCTTTGTTTAATTTTATATTTAATTTAAATAATTAATAATATAAGTTAAAGGCCTTAAATAATTAAGTAAAGTAAAGCTAAATTACTTTTATAATTAGCTCTTTTTATAGCTTTATAATAAGGTTATTAAGGCATTAATTTTATATATAAATTATAATAAAGTAATAAATATATATTATTAAATTACTTATAAGCTAAAAATATAAAACCTTAAGCATTAATAATATATAAGCTTAACCTTATGTTTCTTAAAGCCCTTAACTTAAAGGTAATAAGCAATAAATTAAGATATTAAAAATGAATTACTTAAATAAATAGAAAATAGGTTTTGCTAAACCTTCTTAAGGATAACTTAAGAAGGAGCTTTAATGTAATAAAGAGGGAAGATAAGAATAAAAAGAAGCTAAAAAAGGGAAAAGGTAAGTATTTTAAAAATTCTTAAAAATAAGAAAAGCTTAATTAAAGCATTAAATATATAAGAAAAGAGAAGAGTTAATTTCTTTAAGAATATTTAAAATAAGCATAAAAGTTAGCTTTTTATAATTAATTAAAATTTAATATAATATTATTTTTTATATATTTCCTTATATTTATTAATATACCCCTTTTTAAATATTTTATAATAAATATTATAAAAATTGCTAAAATAAAACTTTATTACCTTTAATTAAACCTTTAAGTTTTAAAATTTACCTTATTATAATCTTAATTATTATTACTATCTTTAATTCCTTGCTTATTTATCTTATTATAGCTTTTATTTCTTTATAAAAGCTTTAAATATTCTTAAAACTTACTTAATAGCATATTTATTAATTATATTTTCTTAGCTATTAAAGTTTAATTTAATAGCTAGTATTAATATAATTATTAAAGATTTAAATATTTTTATAAAATAAAAAATAAATTTATTCTTTTTTTTAATTATTATATTAAGCATAATATGCTAGCTTTATTAATTTTTGCTTTTATTTTTTATAAAGCTTTTACTTTTAAATTTTATACCTTATATTTAATTGCTTAGCTAGCTTATTTATAAGCCTTTTAAATTATCCTTAAGTAAATTTTATTATTATTTTAATTATTTTAAATTAATTAATATACTTTAAATTTTATTTATATTTATTATTAAAATAAATAAGTAAAAAAAATCTTTATATATATTAAGATAAGTATTTCTTATTAATTTTAAAATATCTTATAATATAATGTTTAAGCTAAAGGCTTATTTAATTAAAGTTTTGCTTAGCTAATTTTAAGTTATATAAAAGTTTATACCTTATTATATATTAAATATTTAAAATTAAATTATTAAATTAATTAATATTAAAAGTATTATTTCCTTTATGCCTTTTTTATAATTAATAATAATTTTAATATATTATAATTTAAATAGCTATTATTAAATAATTTCTCTTTATAATAAAAGCTTATTTCTTACTTTAATTATTTTTATATTATTAATTTTAATAAAGGGAATTAATATAAATATTTAAATAGCTTTATTAATTTTATTAAGCTTTAATTAAATAATAAATATTTAAATAATAATGCTAATAATAGCTTTAAGCATTATAAGATATATAGTTTTAATTAAAAAAGCCTTAGCTTAATTCTATACCTTTTATTTATTTTTTCCTTAATTCTCCTTAAAGTAATTTTTAATAAACTTAATAGCATATTATTTATAAAATACTTTATTAATTTATTTTAATTTTAATATAAACTTTTTATTAAAATCTTATATTTTATCTTTTAAGGTAGCTATTAAATATTTATAAATAAATACTTTAATATTCTTATTTATTTTATTATTTTTATTTTTTAATATAAAACTATTTTATAATAAATAATAATTTTTTATTTTATTAAAAATTACTATTATTTAATAATTAAGTATATAAATAAGTATAATAATAAATTTATAATCTTTTATTAATTTATATTATTAATATTTTATAAATAAGGTATAATTATAATATAAAAGTTCTTTAAAGAAAAATATAATATCTTAAAAGTTAAAAAGTTATTAAATTATAAAGATTATAATATATTAAGTTTTTAATTCTTTATATTTATAAAGCATTTCTTTTATATTAAAAGAATTAAAAATAAAAAAGGCTTAATATTATTTTATTAAATTTATTAACTTAGTTAATTTTCTTAACTTAAAATAAAAGTTAATACTTAAAAAATATTTTTATATTATTTTTATAAGCTTATTATTAAATATTATTTATTTTATATTAAACAATAATAATTAATTAAGGATTTAAAATTATTAAATATTATTTAAATAAATTTTATTTATAATAATTTTTATTTTAAAAGAATTTTTAAAAAAGTTAGCATTTACTTTTTAAATAAAGTTTTATTAATTTTAAATATTTATAATATTTAAAAATTATAATGCGTTGCTAAGTAAGTTTTTAAAGTTATTAAAATAATGAAGTTTTATAATTATTAATATTAAATTATTCTTTTTTAAATTAATAAGCTTAATTATTAAAATTAAGGCATTAAGATTTTAAGGTATTTTATAATATAAAAATAATTATAACTGCTTTTTTACTTTATCTTTTTAATTAAAAAATATTTTAGCTTTTAATTATAAGAAAAAAAAGTAAAGAAAATAAATAATAAAATAAAAAGTAAGTAATAAAAGTTAAATAATAAAAAGGAAAGGTATAATAATAAGAAAAGCCTTATATTTTTAAGAATTGCTATATAAATAATTAAAGTAAAGAAAGTTAAAAATAAAGAAAAAATATAATTAATATTTAATTATAACTTAAGGTAACTTTTATAGATAATTATTGCTTATTTTTAAATAAAAATTAAATAAAAGAAAAGATTAATATATTAAAAATATATTATTATTAAAATAATTAAATAATAATTAACCTTTAATCTTTAATTAATAATAATATAAAGATAAAAAAAGAAAAAGAAAAAAAAAAGATAAAAAAAGGGCTTAGTTATAAATAAATAAGTATAATAATATATATAAGCTTAAAGTAGCAAAAGCTAATAACTTACTACCCTTAAGTTAAATAATTATATTAATTAAAAAAAAAAGTAATAAGAAAGCTTATAAGTTATTATTAAAAATTATTAATTTATTATTTTATTAATAATTAAAGTAAAAAGGATATATAATTTCTTATTTCTTTTAAATAGTAGCTAATTATAAGGTACTTTTCTTTTAATTTATAAGTTTATTAAGTATA